ACCCGAGGTGCCGCTCGAGTAGCATAGGAAAGCAACCTGGCGTGCTCCCTGTCCCTTGACCCACTTGAGAGGCTCCAGCTCCGGCAGAGACTTGCCCTCTTGAATCAAGTCATCGATAGTGACATAGGGTGTTTTTTGATCGGCGCCCGGTACCGGCAGCAAAAAGATGCGGTCCTCGGGGATGTTGGCGCCCTTCGCGGCCTTGAGCGCGGTTTCAAGCAACGGGATGCAGGTAAAGAGAGCTTTCGAATTGGACGACCGCAGCTGGTGCTCCAACTCTTGAGCTGAATAAGCGGCGCTAGCGGGAGTGACGATGCCGGACAAACGGTGCATGGCATGGGTGAAGGGGATGTAATCGATCTACGCACTACTTTTTAGTCCCGTAGGAAGACGCGGGGTTACTTGGGCACCATTGCTACTCACTGTGTTGAGAGAGAAGAGGCAGACGACCTTCTCCCATTCGGTGCCCTCGTTTGGTGCGAACTCGAGCTTCTTGGAGATACCTCTCGCCAACAAGTCTGTTCGCTCCCTCACCTCGATAGCCGAGTATGACTTGCCGGTGAGGCCGCAGGTGTACGGGCTTCTGGAATCCTTGAGGGCATAGCGACCGTACCTCTCATTGCTCATGAATTCTTGGATTGTGATTGAATCCGGAGGATCTGTGGTGTTTCAGTGAGCGCTGGTCGCGGCAGATTGTTGGGCGAGGCCCGAGGGCCCGAAGGGGAATATCCTACCAATGGGCAATTGAGGAACCCAGTTTGGTGAAGTGAAGACCATCTTGGGCAACGAAGGGGAGAGACGAATCGAAATAGAGAGAGGATATGTGAGAAGCTTGGTGTTCACGCGTTCAAGGTCGTGTCCCAGAAGCTTTGCGCGCGAAGAAGGTCCGTCGTTGAGAGGTGTGAAGCGTCGTTGAGAAAGAAAAAGGTTCGGGGGAGGTTCGGACTTTTTGAATGATGTCAAGCTGCGCACGAGGCTCGGTGGATAGCTGAAGCTCAATTGCCGAGCAAGCGGTTTGGTTCGAGAGGAAAACTGACAGCGAAGGGGACCGACCGGAGCGGGAACAGAGTTTAGATCTCTCTATTGCGTTGCGCCTCTGTGCCCCCGGTGACCGGGCCCTCCCCTGGTCTCTTCGTCCCTGGTGCTCTGCGTGTCTGCTCCTCCTCACAGCCAGAAGGAGCAAAAACCAAGACTTGGAGAAGCATAGCTTCCCCCACTTCTCCGCATTTCTCCCCACGTACTTGTCACACCTCGGCAGAGAGCAACAGATAGTGCGGTATCTTCCCGCACTCTCCAGGAGGTCGAGTCATTCCGCGTATCCGCCCGCGTCATTTGGTGTAGATCCAGCCATGGGCATCTACTCCTCCAATTGTTAGGACGTTAACTGTGGCTGACCTTGGACAAGATCCGTTGCCAGCAGCCGATGGCGGTAGCGCCCACACCTTACCCCAGTCGCTAGATTGGCTCGCCCATTCTCTGAGCTTCACGTCGCTGAACCTTCGCTACTCATGACCCCCGTCGATTCCAAGGGGTCCAGGGGCCCAGAATTTGGCCGAGCAGCCACTGGCTGTGGGTTAACCGGCTGCAAAGGGCTAGAGGCCAGCCGGCTCCTGTGTGCCTTGGTTGGCGATTTGGTATTTGGTGGTCGCCCGTTTCGTTATGTCAGCAAGCAGAGAACCGAATTACCAAGGTAAAAACAATTCCGACCAACCGAGATTCTTCCGATGACAAAGCAAACACTCATCTTTTGCCGGCCAGATTGGCCAGGTCTCTAGGCCCGCAGCCCCAGTCGCACCCCGGAAGTCAATTCATTAGATCTCCGGCGCGGAATCTCACTCCCGCCCCGGATTCTCAACCTCCACCGAATGTCACAGAGTGGGTCGTGGCTTCTGCCTCTGTTGCCCGCCGACCTCCGCGTCAGACGACCGCCATGAATCCTCTCAGGTTGACTGTCGACTGGGAACGGCTGTGTTACCTTTTCCAACACTGCATCAGGTCGCCGGGAAGAATGATCTGGTCACTAGCAAGTATTTATTCGCCGGTAGCAACAGCGCGCGATACATAAGGTCGGCAAGGGAGCCTCAGTGACAGTTGCACACACAGTCAATAGTGGGGCATACAATAAGCAGCCGTTGTTTAGTCAGATTTTGGTCAACAGAATACTGCTGCTGGCTGGGGACTTTGCCGGGGACTTCACCGAGTGATGAAAGCCTGGCCAGATGGCTTTACTTCCCTCAGGCCGTCCACATGTGCCATTACTCTTTGTTGCGGGATGGCATTGTTTAAGCCACCATCACTTCGCGCTAGAAACAATGATACATTTCGGTGGTATATCACCTCATTAAGTTGACGAGAACCTGTCTCGGCATGTGTTGTCTCAAATGATCCCACTTCCCTCTAGATCGCAATGTCCCTCAAAGGTATGGTCTTCACTGCATCATGCTTCTCTACCTTGACACTTGCCAATGAGGCAGTCTCGACTCCAAGCGTGGCAGCCTCACATAGATATTACTTGAACACCTGTCTTCCATGCGTCCCATACCATATGTCCACAGACAAAGCCAGCGTTTGCTTCTACTTCGCGAAAGTGGAATAGATGAGAAAGAGGGCTTGGTCAGAACTCATCCGTTCTTCCAATCTGAAGTTATATGCGTCCGTCGTTCCCACTCAATCTGTCTGAGTCGGTGAGACTGGTTTGTTGGACATTGGATGCCTCTGTCCGCCTTGTCACCGAAGGTTCTCACAAACGGCCCCTCATTTTGAGCCCCGTATCGTATCAACAGTATATATCACATTCCCTAGAGGCTTTGCCCACCTTCCTCATATGACTGGAACTCAATACCTGAAACGGGAGCCTTGTAGTCTTTCAACCTTTCTTTTACCCCCGAAGGTGCGAGCGAGCCCCCTCCATCATCCACTACAGTTGCCTTTGCCAAAGCTTCGAATTTGAAGCCAACTGTCTTCGGCTCAATGACAGCATCAATTACCTTGGCACAGTCTCTATCTGACCAGGAGTAGAGGGTCTCAAGGTAGGAAGTCATTTCTCAAGTCATTATTCAATAGCAAGCTACTATTTTTGCCGGACTTGGCAGCATAGGAAAGCCGCTACTAGCAAGATTTCTTCCACTCTGGAACTTCCAATCTGGAAGGTCTAACATCGGGAGTTTGTTGAACATAAACTCAGCTTTTGATCACAAATGCCCTACAAGCGTTGCTCTTGGCCAGCAGAAATATTTATCTAATAGCCGTCTAAAGACATCACCTTGCTAGATGCTATTAATGGCTAAGCCAGTCTCTCTCATGCCAGCGTACTGCATGTCACGCGCTATTCATCACTCCGAGGCACTGGATGCTCAGACGTAAATTGACTCGGTGGATTTCTCCTTTCGACTTTACAATTGACAAACACCATAAACGACTGGTGCTTAAACTCGCTCTCCCAACAAGGAACCAGATGTTGATGATTAAGAGCTGAAACAACCGTATGCTCGAAACGACGAGAGACTTGTAGAACCTTTCATAACACTCCTCATCTGCCTTGCATGAGAACTCGGTTGCTCCTGTCTCTTCCGTCTCCTCTAAGGCTTAGACTAAGACGAAAAATATTTGTTTTGGGAAACGGATCACCTGCACCTTCCGAATCTACAATGCTGATATTCGTCGCTCTTTCCCGCTGTGAATCACGCAGGTCCAGCCGGTCCTTCTTCACGGTTCGGCTAGGTGCCCCTTTAGGCAATTAAAACTTTTCACACCCTCTGCTCTTTCCTTGTATTGCTCTCCTCCTGCCTTCGAACTTGCGAACCATTCTTTATGAACCTCGATCCTGCTCTAAGATCTGCGGTCTCTTTCCAGCACCTTCTTGAGTTCGCACTGCGATCCTACCTTCGAACCTGCGGTCCCTTCTTCGCACCTTCTTCAGTTCGCACTGCGATCTTGCCCTGAGACCTGCGGTCCCATCTCCGCACCTTCTTCACTTCGCGGTCCTGCCTTCGAACCTGCGGTCCTTTCTTCGTTCCTTCTTCATAGGTACTGCTCTCCTGCCTCTGAGCAACCCCTCCCCACACCGGAGGATATTTAAGGGGAGCTTTCTTCCGCAATCACACTTCTCTCTTTCACACACCCTCACTTCTCTCACACACGCTTCCACTTCTCTTGCCGACACAATTCTACTTCTTCCACACACACACACCACAACTTCTCCCATACACATATTTTCACTTCTCCCACCGACGCCTCCACTTCTCTCCTACATAAACCCTTCCACTTCTCTCCCGCACACATTCTTCAACTTCTACCTCGAACACTATTCTACTTCTACTTCAGACACTCTTCCGCGTCTGCTTCGAACATTCTACCACTTCTACTTCAATCACACTTCCACTTCGACCTCAGACACTTTTCCACTTCTACTTCGGACACTCCCGTCTTCCGCGTCTGGCTTAGAACACTCTTCTACTTCTACTTAAGACACACTTCCCTCTACTTCAGACAATCTTCCACTTCTTCCTCATACAAACTCACGTCTTTCATCTATAACCGCACTCTCAAAGACTGCAGCCTCTTTACGTATTCAGTGCAGCCCGACCGTGAACCGGTCTTTCTATTCTTCATACCTACTTCTTTCACATCTTCTCAAATCCTTCTATCGTACCAAGTCTACTTCCTTCAACCGTTCGCACCTTCGGTCTTTCAAATTACCTAGAAGTGCCGTTCGCACCTGGCGTCGTTCAAAATACCGACAAGTGCCGTTCGCACCTACCGTATTTCAACCTACCGAGAAGTGTCGTTCAGACCTGACGCCTTTCAACCTACCGAGAAGTGTCGTTCGGACCTGGCGTCTTCCAAACCACCGAGGAGTGCCGTTCGAACCTTCTTTATCCAGAGCCCATCTTAAACTTCACTTTCAGGCTGCGACCGTTCTTCAACCTACGTAATACACACCTCACGATCGATATTAGAACCCCCTTTCTTCACATCAGTTCGAGTACTCGGCAAGCACGATGGCCGACATCAACAAGCTTAAGGCTGAGCCTTTTGGTGAACCCCCCGTTTGGGCTGCAACCCGACAGGCTCTCTGCGATGCTCTGCCTTACTACAAAGCGCACCAGAGCAGTGCTCACACCAACAACAAGACTATGGTGGGATTTCTCCTTGGCGGCTTTCCAACTATTCGAGACCGCATGGATGCAGAGGTCATCATCACTGCGCTGTAGGTGCTTTCCAAACTTCCCTCGCTTACCAACTGCTAACCTTCATGATCTGTGGCAGCGGTGGCGGCAGAGAGCGCGATGTTGATGGCAACATGATCCGAGTCAAGGAGAGCTTTGAGAGAAACTTGTCCTCTGCCCAAGCTTCCATGATGAAAGCCATGCCCGTTGGCGTCATCTTAGGTAAGTCAATTCTTCGAAGCAATACCATACTTGAGAATCATACTCATTTTCAAATAGATAAGAACTACCCCAGCTTGTCCATCGCCACGGAGCACAAGTACAGCGTCATGGCATTCTTCACCATCACGGACATTTGGTCCGAGAAAGAAGCCAATGGACAGTTCTGCCACAAGATTCGACTTGAGAAGATCGACCGTTCTATACCATCTTGGTGGCAGGCAAAGGCTGAAGTTCAACACACTGTCAAGCCTCAGGAGTTCAGTGATGTTCGCCAAAGCTGTGGCAAGTGCTTGAAGACGTCCAAGCAATACTTCATTCAGGGCTGGACCTGCTTGAATGCTCACTGCGAAGATTCATTCATCTTCTCCTCAGAGACCGACATCATGGGGCTTGTAGCTGCTTCTCACTGCTCTGCAACCCTTGCTTGGTGCATCGACTGCCACCAGCACTGCAAGACGGTCTTCTCTGCCGGATGGACCTGTCTCAACCGCAAGTGCAAGAAGTTCTTCACGTTCCCAGATGATGTGGATGTTGCTCGCCTGGAATACTCGGAGAACTTTCTTCAAGAGAGAACAACGTTTCAACTCCCTAAGCAGCTTCTTCAACCGAACCTTCCATCCATGAAAGGCCATCTCGGCACCGAGAATGCAATGCGTCAGGGTATTGTCTGTCCTCAGTGCCACGGCTGCTCGAGACGAATTGATTGGACTCACTGGGCTTATGAGAACCGGGAGTGCAACTTCGTCTTGATGGCTAAGCCGGCTGCATTCCCTCTGCAGGATGTCCTCCAAGAGGAGACTCATGTCAAGAGAATGCATGGATCTAGACTCTACGATGCAGGAATTCTGCAGCACCACGCCCAGATCAATGGTCTTCCCATTGAACAATATCTTCTTCCGGATCCCAACAACGCCAGCAGAATCATTGGCTCAGTCAGTATCATCCGCACGACCCAGACTGCGAATGGACAGCCTGGCGGCCCTGATGAGATGTGGAAGGTCTCTAACGAGTCTGTCGACACCTTCAACCTGTCCAGAAACTCGGTGGTTCATCCCGGATGTAAGTCTTCATTCAAAGCTTTTCCGCAAAACCAATTGCTAACATGTTCCAGTACCCACTGAAAAGCTGACGAGAAACTTCCTTCAAAACTGGGGCGCTCCCTACAAGTTCGTTGTCGCGGTGGACTCCAAGCCATTCTCGGCGGCCCCCGAGGCCTTCATCGGAGCCCTCAAGAGAATGGAGTGGGCTGGTGAAGTATCAATCGAGATGACGAACCAAGTCTTGGGAGTTGTTGACCGCCACGCTCAGCACACTGGACTGACTCGGGACCCGTCTGTCACTCCTGAGTTCACCAACTTTAACGAGCTGTTGTCCATCGGCTATATGGAGAATGACAAGATCGGCGTTAGTAACCTCATACTTCCTTTGTGAGCTCCAAGCTGACTTTTATAGTTTCACGATGATGGCGAAGATACCTTGGGCCCTACGGTAGCCACACTTTCTTTGGGAAGCCCGGCTATTATGTTCTTTGCCAAGAAAACAAAGAGTGCGAAGAATGCGAAGAGAGGAAAGAATACGAAGGAGAATGAGGAGTACCGGAAGGTGGTTCTCAAGTTCTCCTTGTACCACGGTGATATCGTGGTCATGCATGGCTCCCGCATTCATGAGGAGTATCTGGTAAGTGCCTCTAAAATGAGTGGGAGCACAAGTGCTAACATTATCGTAGCACAGGGTCGATCCGAAGGGAAAGCGCCGTTTCGCTCTGACTTGCAGAAACATCGACCTCACGCACTCAAGTTTCACCCCTCAAGGCCGAGATGATGCCATCATGAAGAGCACCGTCCCGTCGGTATCAAAGATCTGGGATTACCCGAAGCCTGATGACAGCAATGAGATCGAGATGAAGTCCTGCAATTCCTGCTTGGTTACGGATCTCAAGAAATCGGTCGCTGTTCAAGCTACTACACTCGAGACGAAGGCCTTCATAGGTGGCAGAGCCGCAACGGCAGCTGCTTCCACCACCGCCTCGGCTGGAGCCAAGAACCTTACAGGAATGATCAATGCTCCCAATCGTCGTATCACGCGCGTGCGTACCAGAAAGCGTGATGGCACCGACAGCGACGAGAACTATAGCGAGGGTGAGTCTCCTCTTACTCGCACTGCCAAGAAGCGCAGAACCAGAGCCTAGTCATCCGGTGCAAATCGCCCGGACAGGCCAGTTATCTTCTTCAACTTTACGCTTTTCTATCATCCAAGATGATGACACTGAAGCATTCAACACTCGATTCACGGTGATTTTGCGGGATTTTCTGATTTCTGAGAGTTCGTTTGGGAGAATGGAGACTGGAGATTTGATCGTTTTTGCCTTTTTCTCATTTCAATCTTTGTTTCGTGGTTTCCCGCTTTTAGGGAGAATTCGTGAGGCTTCCAGCAGCGGCGAGGCCGGGCGGATACCGGAGGGAGACATTTGCTTTTTATCCAAGGAAGACTTGGGAACAACTTTGCTGCTTCGGCAGTCTTAATCATTTGGCATCCAGCGTTTGCACATAGCTCAGTTACTTAGTTCATAGTGGAAATTTTCCTCAGATTGCAGTCATATCCTGTCCACCATTTTGATGTGACATTATCTTGAAGGCCGTATGCAAAATTCACGGCGTCCTCGCCGAAAGCAAGTGCGCACTCCGCAACGAATCTCGATGTGGATATCTTGGCCTCAAGCTGCGTGCGAGGTTGACAAGGTGAAGCTTCAGCTGTTCAAGCTCTCTCACTGTGCCCCAGGATTGAGACACGTGTCTCGACTCGGGGATTGACGAATGAGATGGCCTTCCACCGTCCCAGCATCTCGGGACTTTTGGAGGCGTCCGGGTTGAATTACTTTTGGACACATGCAGAAACGCCTTTTTCTGCAATTGCTTATGGAAGATGGTCGTTTGTGGGAAGAGGGAAGAAGGAACACTTAGGTCAGGTAGGGAAGAAGGGCAAGGGCGGGGAGGGGGTTCTACAGCATTCATCATTGGTACTACCTCATTCAGGGAGTGAGACATTCCACGGACGGTGTATCCTGCTTCCGGGGTCCCCTCCAAAATCGTGGCCATCTCAATTCGAAGTGATGGCTAGGTACCTTGTGCCGCACCTCCGGGTCCCGGAACGGCGGCATGGAGCAACGAGGAAAGGGCCGAATGTGGTCTGGGAGGACCTGGACCCCCTCGGAGGGGTGGTCTAGAACCGGTGTTGCTCATTTTGGGTAAGTGAGGTAGGTGAGCGCATTACCCTTGAGACAGAGGAAACATTAGAGACATACTACGTCAGAGCAGAGCGCGAGTAAAGGTGAGAGAGAGAGAGAGGATGGGGGGGTCATGCTGAGGTCAACGGCGTTTCCCGGAGTTAGTCCCGACGCAGTTCTATTCGGTGAAGAGGAGGCGAGTTGTCCGTCGGCCGACGCCCGGTTTTTCCTAGTCTTGTCTTTCTCTGGGGGTTTAAAGGCCCTCGTCACAAAAAGTTGACTGAACACAGACAAATCGAGGGCTGGTGTGATGAAATATGTACGTTTTTGTGTTACCATTCTCAAGTTTGCAGTCACAGCCACACAGTCACAGGATGGATAGCAAAAAGCACGAAATGATTAGGAGCGAGATGGCGAGAGAACGAGCAGGAAGTGTGGTTCTGAAACTTTTTTTGAATTGGAAAAGTCAGGTCCCGTTTTTTCTTTTCTTTTGGCCTTCCTAATGAGAAGAAAACCGAAAGAAACAAGGGCCTCAAGTTTTCGTCATTGGTATCGTAACGGGTCATCAGTAAAAACGTCCGTCCTAGCTAGACATCCAGCCCAAACCCCCAGCTTTGTGAAGAACTATTCTTCAAAAACTCATGGCCAGCTAGCCAGGGAAAAATCCGTACCTCTTTCTCAAGCTCTGTCTCGTCCGTGATAGATAAGACCAGAAGAGAAAGAGGGTTTCCATTAATTCCTCCCCTTCCCCCAAAACGTCCATGCCATCCCCTGAATGCAAAGTTGATAATGAAAACTCCCCAAAGAATGCAGTGCCTCCCGAAACCTGAACAAAGAAGGGGTATCGTATCCTTAGCCTTATTTTTCCTGTTGCGTTCACAAAATCATCTCCAAAGCACGACTCAGAATGTAATCGTGATGACCAAGATGGCCAAGACGCTCAAGACCAAGCCCATGAAGACCTGGTCGCTGCCCAAGAGGGACGAGGCGGCATTGTGAGAATCGGAGTTGCTCGACGAGGAGGGATCGGTCGCGGTCGGGGCGGCAGTCGTCGTGCCCGTGTTCGTCGAGGAGCCACTGCCACCGCTGCCGCGGGTGGCCGCAGTGGGGGTAATAGCAGCGGAGGAAGCGGGCGAGGCGTTGCCGGTCGCGGAGGAGGATGACTGAGGATGAGGTGTTATAAAGACGAAATCAGAGGGAGTCACGAACTTCGGACTCGGGATGGGGGGGTTTGTGTAGGTCGAGCCAGTCGGGGCGTCAGGGAAGAGCCACGGGGAAGTGGTAGTAGCAGTAGTATCAGAAGAAAGAGGAGCCAAAGAGGAACTCACTGCACCAGGCGCGGGCGCAACGCTGCCGTCCGGGGTGGCGGGTCCGTTGCAGAGTCCGACGAGGCCGCTGGGGACGGCGTTCTCGCCGTTGGTGATGGTGATGATGTCCTCCTTGCCGCAGTCGGCGGCCTGGGCCATGTGGATCGCCTGGTTGTCCCAGTCGAAGACGAAGTAGCCGGCCTGCATCATGCTGTCGCCGAGGATCTGCTGGTCGGTGGTGATGACGAGACCGACGTAGCACTGGCCGTCCTTGGGGCCCATGTCGAGGATGAAGTCGCTGAGGGGCACGCGGATGGTCTTCTTGCCAAAGGTGAAGGTCATGTATGAGTCGCTGCCGCCGTTGGCGAGGGTCGGGGTGCGGAGGGAGCAGTCGGCGGTCCAGTATCCGCTGTCGTCGCTCACTGCCTTGAGGTCCGCGAGGATGGGGCGCGCGAGGGCAGGATGGAGGCGCGTCAGTGTAGTACCCGAATCGAGCATGACGTTCGTGTCAGCTGCACCGAGGTCGTAAGACTTGACGGGCTGGTTAGGAAGAGACATGCCAACGGCAGAAAGGGTGGCTGCGAGACTGGAGTTGTGAGTTAGTACGAAGATTACGGTGACATTTTCACTTGATCAGGCTGGAGTGAGAGAGGCCTTGACTTACCGAGGCTCGCCTCTAATGCCAGTAATCATGGGAACCTTCAGAAGCTCTCCAATGAACTTGCCCTTGTCGAGACCGCCGTAGATGAGCGCGCCAGAGTCGGAGGAAGAGTGGCGGAGATCCAGCGAAAAGGCACGGCTGCCGATGATGTCCTGATCAGCCAAGGTGTTGAGAATCAGGCTGTAGGGCTTGCCCTTCTCGAATCCAGCCTTGAGATCAGGAGCCAGGCCCATGATGCCGGTGGCGATGCCATCGCTCTTGGTGACGAGGCCAAAGGTCTGGTTGACGATGGCACCAGCGCCCATAGTGATGGTGTCAACGTAGTAAGCGATCTCGGCGCTGGTCTGAGTGCTGGCGTCCGAAGCATCTCCGTAGTTGAGTCTTCGAGCTCCAATGGGGCCAACGGCCGGAGTGCGACTCTTGGCCGGGTTGTACTGGCCAGCAGCGAGACACTGCTTGGCCTGGGAGGCAGAAGGAGCGGTAGCACAGTCCGGGTTGACCCAGAGCTCAGAGGAGCCGGTATCGAGCAGGACAGTGACCTGCTGAGCAGGAGTGCCGATCGAGACTATTTTTTTTGTGTCAGTCTGCTCAAAGGAGTGAGAGGAAGCAGGAAATTACTCACTATCAGTCGAGTAGTAGAACTGTTGATTCTTGAGAGTAACCTCGATGGCCGCTCTCTTGTCAAGGTCACTGTAGTCAGGTCTGACCTGTCTGACCGGCATGGCGATAAATCCCTGGCCCTCAGTGGCGCGAGGGAAGGACAAGGCCGTGACAGAGCTCACAGCCGCGCCAGCGGCGGTGAAGGCGATGAAGATTCCAGACTTCATCTCGGGCAGCTTTCGATGCTCTCGTTGTGGTATTGTTTGGCTTGAATGAGATACAATAAACCCAGAGATAAGATACCGAAGAAGAAAGGGTAAAGAAGGTGAAGGTGGGAAGGTCCCGGGAAAAAAGGATTGTTGAAGCTGAAGAGAACCTTGAAGAAGGGGAAAAAGAGATGAGGCTCCGTGGATCGGGGATATCCAGCGGATAAAAAAGAAGGAAGGAAGTGAGTGTACCTAAAGGTAAGGTAAGGAAGGTAAGGTGTGGAAAAAACGCCACACGGAATCTCCAGCTTCTAGGTCGATGGTGTAAGGCAGAACAGCTCAGCTTGACCTAGGTGGGTCCCGGTCCCGGCCCAGGTCGTCGTGGTCGCTTCTGGGGATGAGTTGGTGGTATCGACTTTTGAGCGCTAGCCTGAGGTATCCGTAATAGAGCGAGCCGTTCGAGGAAGGAGGGCAAGAGAGGGAAAAGGCTCCGAGAGAGAGAAAGTCTTGAGTGTCTTGAGTCTTGATGCATGCACATGCGCTAGCTGGCGTTGGCGTTGGTTGGGGCTCAAAGAAGACAACATCATAAAGAGGGACATGTCTCTCCTCCATCTGCCGTCCCCTACTACAGCCTCTGCTTGCGGCAGCCTCAACACCAACAACTCCATCCCGACTTCCGGTTCCTTGGCTAGATTCCTGGCCGGTACCTCAGCACGCGTGGCCAGGTGTCTAGATGTTCTTCAATCCCCACCCTGGCTTACTCCAGCTGGCTAGAGTTACACAAAGAAAACGGGCAATGGGCCAGCTTGCTTGCTGCATCCGACCTCTCTACTTGGGCCCAGGTTCTCTTCCCATGTGGACTTCCACGTGAGGTTCTGGCCATCGACTCGCGAGACTACTCGTTGAGCCAGAATCAATATTGGAGCCATGATGGTATTGCGGTAGTTGAAGTTATGCTTGGAGAAATGATCGTCACTCCTATCCTTAGTTGCAGGAATTCGGTCAAAGGCACGGAGAGCGCGCTCTCTAGAATGTGAGACACTGCCCCGAAGCCGGCGACTAACGGCCCGGCCGGCGCGTGGCTCCCGCATTGCTGGCAATCCCATAGCTCAATGGGTCACTAAGGTGGACAGATATCTTAGCAGCTTTGCTCCGGAGGAATATCTCAACATCAAGACTTCAGTAGTCTTGCCTGGCTGGAATAGGCATGGAATCTCGTTTTCAACTTGTACTTTTGTAGCCTCTTGCAGCCATGGAATTTTGACACCAGCATCTTTTGAGATGATTGGATAGGAAGAAACATCCTCAATAGAGTAGTACAGCGGTATCTACCGCCGGGTCGGTTCCCTCAGCTCAAGATGGGGCCGCCATGTGGCTATTTGAGCCTCCCGGACTTGGATGACAGCGACGGGTTCGGAAAGCCACCTCATCTCGCGCGGTAAACACCGTTCGGCTACGTCATCGTAAAAGAAGCCAAGACGACTGCAACACCATATGTTGAGATATAAGATTGGCTCGGATTCCCTTTTCCATCACGTTCTAATGATAGGTATGGTCGGTGTAGCTCGGTGAGCTTTCCTTCCATCTTCAGATCTGTGATCGTCGAAAGAGCTCCACCAGCAATGTTGAGTTGTCCGGGGTGCGTTACACTTGCTTTAGGGCCAATCATGGATTGACAACCCAACCACCTCTCTCTTGACAGGTGTGACGTCGTATCCAAACGCTTGTTTGACGGATCCGACAGAAGACCCTCACTATGGATACTGAAAGAGATGAATACTTACGAACTGCGACTCTTACGCCCTACGATACCAGAAGCGCCGAGAAAGACAGGATACTTATCCCATGATTTATTGTTTTCCTCCCGATAGATCCCGAAACATAGGTTCGTAAAAGTGCCTGTGAATGGTCTTGTCGCTTGTGCGAGCATTGTATGTGACGCTACGACAGGACTCCTCCAGGCACCAGTGGGAATCCATCTGCGTCTATACCAGGTAGGATCAACACTCCGAACGAGAAATTTACAGAGGCTCGGGAGGGTCCCATGCCATACTGCAGGTGATGCCGGTCATAGGATGGGCCGCTTCGGAATTCTCGGACTCGAAAGACTCCGGGCATCACGGGGGATGCGGAGCAGCGGCACGCAATGGGGACGGGCCGTATCGTGATTGGTTGCGGGTAGAGGATGCACACCTTTCGCGAGGTGCCTTGGCAGGTCACCTTGAAGAATCCGTCATTCTGCTTGACAGCTCGTCCTAATAGGGGCACCTACCTACATGCGAGTGACAGCCTAAAGTAGCGTAGTCGGCGGGCTGTCCACGGACGAACTGAATTTGAGGGGACTATTGCCACCCTCTGAGGCATGCGTTGGAGGAGGCCATTCCGGGGCTGTTTGTGAATCTGGATCCAAGGTGGAGGCATTTTGCTGAGCAGGCAGATGCAGAGACATCCTGTGGAGAGAGACTTGTTGGAATTGTAGAAGCGAGAGCGTGCATTTCGACTGAGGAGCGATACTTGATGCGAGACTGTGAGGCGACTACTGGCAAGACACGCTCCTAGAGCAGGTTTCAATTGTGAGGTCGGACGTGACGATGAAATCGGAATCAAGATGTTCCATTGACAGATTGAACCATTAGGTAGTGGAGGTGGGCGTGCGAGAAATGGAAGCTATTAGAAGGGGTGCAGTCGGGTGCTGACGACATCAGACGGATGGAACGGCGGTGGTGACGACCGACGGGAGCTGGATGGGTCGAAAAAGTAAGGCGAGGCAGGAGAGGTGCAGGTGTACATACTCCCAAGGTGCAGGTGCAGATGCAAGTTGGAAGGAACGAAGAAGGAGAAGAAGGTTGGTACGTATTTGTTATGTAAGGTCGTCAGAAGGAAAGTGACGCAAACTTGGAAGTGACCTTCCTCCACGTGCCTTTCCGTGTCTGTGCCCATTCACTACCTGAATGTATTGATTCTCTCTCGGGCCGCGACGATCGAGCACATGAAGATTCCATTTTCTCGCGGGTTTCGACACTTGTTTCCCGACTCATGAAAGCTGGGTATCCCGTAGCACTGCTGTCGATTCTCGCCTTGCCTGAGGTCAGCTAGACCAGGTTTCCCAAAGGTGCAGATAAGCGGTCATGATTGGCGGCCTGTGTGCAAGTGTCAAAGCACCTTGTAGGAACTCTCCGAGGGGGCGGGATCATCCCAGGCACCTGTCCGTCCCAAACACCGCAAGACACCCTGGGTGGGACCGCATTCCCGTCTTCCAAAACGACGCAACAAGACAGACCAAAATAGACGGGGGAGATCGCTGTTTTGTTTTGGCCCAGTCAGTGTCTGGGAGCTGCTGCATCGTGAGGTTCGCCCGCCCGCCGCAGGTCTCAGTATATACCAGGGTAAGGATAGGTCCGGGTAGGAGGGCATTGAGGGACTTGGGGGATGGATGGCCTTTGAAACATGCATCCAATGACAAGTGCGTCTGCATGAAGTTGAAGAAACAATCAAGGTACCACGCTGGCTTCTTCCACCTACGAATGCCTCGCTTGAAGGCAACTTTACCTTATTGTCAATTCAAATGCAGGGCTTTGCATTCATAAGACAAACACCTCCCGTGTCTGATGTAGGTTATGTTGGCGCATTGCGGTAAGGTAAATAAAGCTTGAATGCTTGTATCACTGCCGGACGGCATTTGTTGTGTCTTTGATGGATGATAAATTTTTCTCGTGTCTTTAAATTTGATGAGAAGCCAGCTCTCATACTTGGGTGGACTAACGCGGCAACAATCGACCATTCCTCAGTAGAGGTTTAATAGTATCACATGTATTGGGTGCCATTGAGCTTTTGCCCTGTACAAACCTCCATTTAAATGGTGCTGTGCGAAATCGATACAAGCCCCTTTTGCCCCTCCTTCACCACAGGGCTGGCTGTAGGGGACTCGAGAGCTCAGACCAGGCGGCGTATAATTATACCTTCCATCCATGGGTGCGGAGTACGTACGGGTAGGTGAGAATCCCGACCACCTCGCGCTTGCGAATCGCAGCAAGCAAACAGCAAACGCGTATCCCGCTGAGAGCCGGTCTGTCGGACCTGGGGTGGTTCCCCGAGATTGCCATCTCCCCATTTACACAGGAACTTGTCCCTCTTGGGTTCGTAATCTCATCTTCCATCGCATTTTCCTCTCCCACGTGTGTCTGCCCATCCCAGCAGATTGCTCATTTTGATGTTATCTCGACTTGTGCTATCGCAAGAACTACCTTACTGAACAGTATTTTTCGACTACGACCTCTCATCCAGAGCGTTCTCACCGATTTTGCATCGAGTAGCGTTACCCATCGTTCTTAGGATGGGTGAGGCCACATGGCGCGGGCCGGATGGATAGTCGGGTAGAAAATGATGACGACGATGCAGTCCGCAGCAGGTTGGCAATAAAGCGAGAAGGTGGTGCGGTGCAGACATCAATTTCGGCCCATTTCACAACGAATAAGTCTCGTTACAGTTGCACCACTTCTCGAGCCAGCCCAACTTGAGAGAATAGCTGGGAGGCTGGCAAACTTACACAGGGACCAAGCCTGGTTATGTACAAGATACTCACAGGCCAGCTTCCTCCATTCGCTTGGTCAACAAGGTATGGTACACACATGGTAAGGTACCCATCTAAACTGGCCTTCGCAGTAAAGGTACCTGACGGAGCACGTCCACGCTTACCCCCCCGTCAAGCACCCCCCCCCCGTGCTGGCTTGGCCTGGCCGGGCCTTGACTGGAATCTGTTTCTGTCGGGTCTCTTGCCTGCCACACCCAAATTATTGCTCGCTGGCTTCTCCGTTACGCCTGCTCCCTTTCTTTTTTTGACTTTGTCCAATGCCTCACTCCTTCCTTGCTTTTTGCGATCCAAACCGACGAAGACGGCGACTAATTTTCCAAACTTGACGCGACGCCTTTCATTTCCTCTCTCCAACCTCGATGCTATTTCGTTGCCATCGTCTACTACCGACCAACAGGTAGTCCTCCGACTCTCTTCGCTCATCGGGCCCCGATAACCCCGGCGCCATGAACGCGATCCAGCAAAAATGTCGACCGAAGCACCAAGTGCTGGTCCTCAAGTGTTACCCAAGGACAAACAAGGGCGCTGTTGATGTCAAGCCGAATTCTAGCGAACTGAGCTACCTGCTATTTTACGCTACCTCCCGCCGTTCCAAGATTCAGAAGATTGGCGCCTTCTTGGAGAAGAAGACGGCAAGCGATGTCTGGCGGCAGCGCATCGGGTTTGTGAACCTCTCTAGGTGTTGAGAGATCGCCTTACTTACTGGGCCCCTTTTTAGAAATGTGCAAGTCACCCTTCGAATCCTCACGGCACTGATCGAAAAGGCTCCCAAGGACCTGCCGCTCGTAGCTCCCAATGTGCTCAAAATCCTCGACCTCATCCTCGGATCCAAGGACATCACCATGGTCGAATCCTCCATCCCCACCTTTGAGGCGTTTTGCGAAAACCACGATGCCTCGTCCTCCTTTGCAGACCAAGCTTATCTCGCCCAGTACGAATCGATCGTTCGCACCTACGCTTCGCTTGCCTCGACCCGCGAAAACCCTGGGAAAGGAGCTTCCAGCAAGCCTGTGCTGATGCGATGGAGGAACGCTGGCCTTGAAGCAATCAGGAGTGTTTCCTCTTCGGAAGCTCTATCGACTGTCACTGGCCGCCAGTTCGACGTGATCGTTCCCGTCATTTTGGACAACTTATGGTGGGATGACGACGAGCTGCTCGACACGCTGCTGTCGCGCATACAGATGGAAGAAAAAGTGCAGGCAGAGAAGCTTCGCCGTAGGACGAGCGTCGCGACTGTGGAAACCAGCGACACCGGCGACGCAAACCCCATCGCTCTTACAGGCACTGCTCACGATGTTGACAGGCTGGCGGAAGAGGACGTTGGTGTGCTTGCCATGCAGTGCCTGAAGCAGATCTTTGTAGCGCCAAACCGACCACAGATTCATTCCGCGACTGGTGCTCTTATTCAATTCATCGAGGATCGCGTCGCAAACGGAAACACAGTCGTCAAGCCGGACGAGAAGCTAGGCCAGGATCATGGGTGGGCAATAAGCATGTACAGCGCAATCGCGAGATGGGCGCCTGTACAGGACCGCTATGTCATTCTGGTGACGGCAATGGATCATCTGTCGAAAGCACCCGTCAAGGACGACAACCTCAAGCTTCATCTATCGCTGACGGCCATGATTGGGTCTCTGCTGCGCTCCGACGTCAACTTGATTGGGCTGAGCGCCATGGACGTCTTGCTCGGTCTTGTCCAGCACATGAAGAAGCTCATTCAGCTACCAGGAGGCTTTGGGAGAACTGAAGGAGAGCCCGAAGAAGTAGTCTCTACTCTTCAAGGGTCTGGTGATGTATTCGCCCAGCGAAGAGAACTCCTCGAGCGAATTCAACTTTGCATTGGAGACCTGGCGACACACGTCTACTACGCGGACCAGATTTCGGACATGATTTCGACGATTCTTCTCCGACTAAAGCCGTCCAAATCCTCGAGTACCAGCTCGTCGCCCCAAGCCGAAGCCTCTGAGCAGCCTTCCTCCGATGAGATGACTGCCAGCCAACCTCAGCTGGAAACGTACCTCTCCCGTAACGTTGGCAAGACCGCTGCCTTGAAGGCCATCAAGAACATACTCCTCGTTGCAAACCCGCGCGCACAGATGTCCGGCAACTTGAACCTGTCGAGAAACAAGGTTCCTCTTCAAGTTTGGGAGAACACGCACTGGCTTCTGCGGGATCCAGATGGCGAGGTCAGAAAAGCCTACGCCGATGCGCTTCTGACCTGGCTAGACCGCGAAACAACAGCAGCGGATTGGAAGGCGCGGGACGAAAGCTCTCAACATCACAGGTCTTCTCTGAAGAACAGCCGCGAGCTTCAACCAGCCAATGTTGCTCAACGAGCCGCATCAAACGCGTCCAACCGCGAGAAGCCATCGAGGCACCGCTCACACTTTCTCCAACTTCTCCACATTGCGATCTACGACAACGCGCTGCAATATGTCGACTATGACCCGGATATCGTTCTTCTTCACGTGTTGCTAACGAAGCTGGTGTCCCAGCTGGGTGTTAACGCAGTCCAGTATGGATTGCCAATGGTATTCCGCCTTCAGGAGGACATTCCAGACGCTGAGCTGCCAGTTCAGAAGGTTCGCCTGGGCAGTCTTTGCCACGGATATTTCTGGGCCGTGACCGAGAAGTTCGACATTGAGAACTCTGCCGTGGGACGTGCCATCACCAATGAGGTCATTCGAAGACGCAGCAAGCATTTCTGGACTGAGGGCGTGGCTATCCCTCCGCCAGCTCTAGAGCTCCTCGGAACGCCTGGAGTTCCCAAGTTGCAGACCAAGCTGCCCGCCACAGAGGTTGAGAGTGAAGCGTTGCTGCCATTCGACGACCGCGCATCGTTTGTAGAGAGCATCGCTGTGAGCTATGCGGACACGAGTATCTCACCGCCGAGTAGTCCTCCTCAATCTCCTGGTCGGAACTTTTCGCATCCCATTCTTAGCACCTCCATTTCAACAACGCCCGCGTCGCCCGGTTCGGAGCTGCCAACGGCTTTCCGCGAGCACATGCTGACAGACTGGTCAAGAGATGCAGCTATGCTAGCCTTGCAGGCGGGAAGCAAGTCAGAGTCGCTAGCTGGATCGAAAAGCGGCACTATGGGAACCAACAGACACCACCTGACTGTTAATGGCGTTAACGGGCATGGACAAACGGGAGAGTCTTCACCGCTTGGCAGCCAGCGAAACCTTCGTCCGAACTCATCCCAGGTTGCCGGGGGCTTGTCTCCCATGAGCAAGCTGCGAAAATCCAGTGTCCGAAGTGGCGTTTCGCCCTCACCGTCGGATTCGAGCCGAGGTGTAGTTACATCCATTGATCAACTCAAGATGGTCTTGACGGGCCAGGTGCCGGCGACACCCATTGGCACGTCAGCGGGCGTGCGCCATGACAGTGACAGCGACAGCATGGTCAGCTACGACTTTACCCCGTCAGAGCTCAGCTTCAACCCGGCAACATCTCAGCCAGAAAACGGCGATGGAGCCTCTCTTGGACGGCAGAGGTCTTCATCGGCATCACGCAAGGGTGGGCCGCTCAACTCCAACCCTTTGTACGAGCATAACGAAGACGAGGACGTTCCACCGGTGCCGCCATTGCCCGGTCACATTGGTGGGCTGACGTCCTCGGTTTCTGTTCAGGATTACGCAGTAAAGCCGGCGAAACGAGTACTTAGCAGCCGCGGTGGTGACAGTTTATACCAGGGCTCCACGAGAGGAGATGGTAACATGTCAACGGTGTCGGGAGGAGGGATGGATCTACACGACCTTCTTAATGGAATTGACAGCAGAGCTGGAGAGCTCAGTTTAGGGAACGTCACGAAGCCGCCTTACTAATGGATATGGGCGAGGGATTCAAAAAATTTTGTATTGGTACAACTTGGCGTAGACGTATAGCGAGGCGCGTAGCCGAGTTCTGACAGTTTAAGACAACAATTCTTGAAAGATCTAACAATTCGTCAATTTCCGAAGCATTCGAGAGGACCCTGGAATTTTAACCTCGTACACCGAGGCTTCACCGAGCTCACCTCCCGAGACCGTCCCGCATTCTGATGTCACGCTAAGGCACAAGCCAATCATACCCCTGTATACCCGACCGGGGCTAGCCGCGAAGCTTCCAAAAATTAATTCAACGACCAACTTGTAATCTGTAGCTGCAGCTCCCATAGCTCCAATCCACATCTACAACCACGAAAGGGCGCACCATCACAATGAAGCCGTCAACACGCATCCCGCTGCGCCTTTTTACGGCGACGTCGTCGCCATTGGCTTCGTCAGCCAGACGGTCGACCTGCGCCGCTGCTGCCTTCAATGCGCGCGCTTCCATCTCGACGACGCCCCTCAAGCCCGCCGAGGTCGCCCCCGTGGTCGGCACGGGACCGCCGCCGGAACCGCCCATCGCTGACATCGCCGCCGAGGACCGGGCTGCGGCGGCGCGGATCCGGGTCGAGAGGAGGAAGAAGCAGGCCGAGATGCTCAAGCACGCCAAGCGGATCCGGACGTCGGCCGAGGCCAAGTCGAGTGCGCCGGGGGCTCTGAAGAGGAGGTTTTGGAACGATGTCAGTGTACAGGAGGTTGATGGTATGTCTTTCATTTCTCCTTTTTTTTCAGCTCGCTCTTTATGATGGGATGTCTAGGAGAGATTGGCTAACAATGAATGTTCAACGCAGGCGCCCTCCAAGTCCACCTCGACTCCCGTCCCCTCCGCCACCCCAACACCAAGGAAATCATCCGCCTCCCGCCCTCGAAGCAGCACCTCGCCTCGGCCCTCGCCATCGAATGGGACCTCATCACCTCGGCCGAGCAGGCGACCAAGCAGCACCTGATCCCCCTGACCTCGCTCATCTGCCGCGCCATCGACATCGCCGCCGACGACGCCGCCAACGACGGCGCGATCCGGGAGCACGTGGCCAACACGCTGATGCGGTACCTCGACACGGACGCGATGCTCTGCTGGGCGCCGCCCGCGGGCGCGACGGACACGCGCAACGACGCCGGCGAGTCGCTGCGCGACGTGCAGAAGAGGACGGCGGACGCCGTGGTGGGCGCGTTGACGGGAAGGGTGTGGCCCGGGATCGAGATCCAGCCGGTGCTGGACGGGCATAGCATCGTGCCGCAGAGGCAGGCGGAGGGGGTGAGGGAGGTTGTGCAGGGGTGGGTTATGGGGCTTGACGCGTGGGAGCTGACGGGGCTGGAGAGGGCCGTGTTGGCGGGGAAGAGTCTTTTGGGGGCGGCGAGGTTGGTTGTGGAGTGGAGCGAGGGTCCTGTTGGGGAGTATCGCGATAAGAGTGGGAAGGGGGGCAAGTTTGGTGTCGAGGAGGCTGCTACGGCGTTGAGCTTGGAGGTTACGTGGCAGACTGGGGCGTGGGGCGAGGTGGAGGATACGCATGATGTTGAGAAGGAGGATTTGAGGAGGCAGTTGGGGAGTGTTGTGTTGCTTGTTTCTGGTACGAACCGGAAGTGAGATGTTGGGGGTGGTGATCTTCTTGATTGGGGTGCTTGGGTGGTGTATTGATAGAGATTTGGGGGGGCTGTACATCAAAACGATAGAGACACCTGGTTCCAGAAAGCCAAGGATGTTTTCATGTAGGAGTAGTTGTTTGAACAAAAGCTGATGGACCTCTCCTTACATTTACACTACACTTGCCATTTACATGCATGCTACGAACCTATTTCCCTATTATGGGACAGGCGAACTCAACACACAATCATCACGAATAGCAGTCAGGTCTCGAGGAGTCAATCTCACTATCTTTTGTATTTCGGCGCTTCCTTCACCGTCACGCCTAGGCTTTATACATCATTCCTCTTCTGCTGCTCAATGGCTGAGAAAAGCGCAGGAGTTATTGCTTCCCATCACATAAACCAGCCAACGAATGCGAAGTGGGGTGGCTGTGCAGCCTTGATCTGCAAGCCGTGATTCGGTGGATGTAGGATGCCTCACACACTGGCAATCAGCCTCGAAGTCTGCCCAACGAAGTAGATAAGCGTCTAAGCATGCGGTCCAACGTGGTCATATGAGACGACCCCTGCAGCTCATGCGTCAAGAAGGCGTGTGCCCCTCTGCACCTCCGCATCTCTCGACCGGACTTTGATCTTGGGGGCGTTGTCTTGCCGCCAGTCGGTTTTTTCTTTCCTTCTCCTTTTTTCTTCTGCACTGAAACCCAGCTTTTGCAAATGTTTCCACGTATTCAGGGCTCGTCGCCGACATGTCTTTCGGCTGGTCCGCGGGAGATATCGTCACAGCCCTTCAACTTCTCAACAAGGTCCGCATCGCTCTGAAAGATTCCGGGGGCTCCAAGACAGACTATCAGGATGCCATAGTGTTCCTTGGTACCCTATTGGATACACTTACGACACTCAAAGATGTCCAGGGCACTTCGCCGCATACAGAGCTTCCGCAAAGCATCAACGGTCATGTTGTGCGTCTGGGGAAAGAGATTGATGAGTTCTTGCAAGAACTGCAGAAGGACTATGGGGACTCCCTTGGTTCCTTTCCAACATCCAGCCCTTTCAAGATTCAGGCCCAGAAAATACAATATGCAACCTCAAAGAAAGTCCAGGATCTACGCGCAAAGATCGGCCCAGAGCTATCGGCGTTACAGATCAGATTGACGGGTCACATATTGTGAGTTTGAAATAAGACGATCCTGGTACGTCGCACAGCTTTGGGCTGATAAGTTAATTGCAGAAACGTTTGTGCCAAATTGCCATCCCATCTCCAACGTCAGATGGAACATGCGACAAAAGCCACTTTGGAGTCCTTCAGCCTGAGTCAAAACCATGAAGCCATTCTAAACAAGCTCGTGTCTCACGAAATCAGATTAGATGGGATATACAAACAGACTTCGAACATTTTATCTATTTCAGAAAACTCACAAAGGCGGATGCCATTGGAGATGTTTCCCTGGCCAGTGGAAATCCGAACCACCCTGGACGCCGCGGTCGGAAGTCGCGATGAATGGGGGGTTTTATCATCCATCGTCCAGAACGGCCAGCAAGCTGCGCTTGGTTTGGGTGGTGTCGTAAAAGACGCAATGTAAGAAGCAGTTTATAGTTTTGTAGGTTCTGTATCGTCGGATCTTAATGAGTGGCAGGTGCCTGCTTTCGATGGCCGTCATGGCAGGATATCGCAAGACCATCCTCCCATTTTACAGGGCATTGACCCTCGCTGTTGCTCAAACCATGACACAAAGTGGAATCAAACTGATTGACCCCTTGGGGAGGAAAACGACCCTACCGTACGATTGTGGGAGGTCCTGGGAGGTAAGTCATGATGTCGAGAGAATCGGTGCACCCATAATTTCGCTTCGCTTCTGAGAACTGACTGCGTGTCCCAAAACTAGGTTTTCGAGATAGTCGTGAGCACCTTGTTCAAGGGATGTCCAGGAGAAAATCTTGTTCGAAATGGAATGTACTGCTTTGCCGACACGAGACACCCTTCCAATTTCTTCGCTGCGCATTCTTGGTCGCAACGCATCAGAGATGGTGCCACTATCCAAATGTTCGCAATTGTGGTCGCATGTGTAGACTGCGGCGGTAGGACCTTGCACGACCCAAGCAAGGGGACCGCTCTTTGGTGAGTTGGTTCATCTTTCTCAATACTCCTACCAACCTGCAGAGTTTCCGCTTCCAAATTTCAACTTTGAACATCACAAAACCTTTCACCAGAAGCTTCTCGGCCGAGACCTAGTCTGACGCATCTGTATCCAGCCAACATTGCAAAAAGGGATACGTCAGCGTTGGCCCTGATGCTGTCGACTTGTCAAAATATACGAAAGCTAGGTCTCAACTAGACTTTCACAAGTTGCAAGCTGAGGACAGCGGCACAGCCAGCACAACTCCATCACATCCGCAATCAATAAGCCATGAACTAGCGGAGACACGTCATTTAAAGCATGTCGTCAGCATCAATGCACATGGCAAATTATCCAAGGAAACAATTAGATGGATTCACAAACAATGTTTGGGCCTGGTTAATGCGCTAGCAAAAATCCACGGGGTCACAGCAAGGATGCCGTTTGGTTCTCCATCTGTGGAGGAGCTTGTGAATGGGGTCGTGTTTGATGCCCAAAAAGGCGTGTGGAGAGGTTCATAACACTTATTGGGTCTTGTGGCAAGCAGGACCTACGAAATTCCCAATGTTACCTCATTAGGGAGGTCTGCGAAATTCTTTGTCATTAGATTGACACTGAATCGTAATGCTACGGGCGCTTGATCTCCGGGTCTGCTTTCGTTTGTGTAAGATTTCCTTAATTCACCTGCATTAGATGAGGTAGCTAACATATATTAGGATCACGTTCACCATGGTACAGCCTCTGCAAGTTTTAGCAAAAAATAGATTCTTCACTGTTATTCCTGGCCATGGTCATACTATGTTCTAAGTAAAGACTGTAATCATCTCCCATCATCAAGAGACATGCCATCATCAAATACGTTACAAAGGTGTCCAGCCTTATTAACAATCCTCCCCCAAAATTAACTACTGGTCATTAAGGAATGAAGTAAGAATGAAAACCTTGCCCTATGCCCCTTATTTTCTCCGATTCATCTTTTTGCAGATCCCGGTTGTAAAAGCACAACAAAAGGGAAGGGGGATATGGTATACAAGGTACATGGGAATTGCCGTTCCGTGTCAAGTCTCGATGCAAAACTCCTTTACATCAAGCCGACAGCGGCAACGAAAGCGCCCAAAGCAGCGCCAGCAGCCAAGACGCCACGGTTAGCATCAGCGGGGGCAGCAGCATTAGTCGACCCAGACCCGGAACCGCTCGTCGCCTGGGCGGCGAACGCGCCAGTGAAGGTCGTGAGCAGCGTGCTGCTGCCAGACACGGCCTGGGCGACGGTGGCGGGGCCGGTGGTGGCGACGCCGTTGACGGTGCGGGTGAGGGTGACGGTGTCGGTCTTGTAGGCCCAGCCGGGGCCCATGCCGCCCCAGGCGCCGCCGGGACCCCACCAGCCGTCGACGGGGCAGCCGGTGATGGTGACGGCGGCGGCGTCGCCCGTCTTGGAGCCCCACCAGCCGCCGCTGTAGGTGAAGGTGCTGGTGCTGGCGCACGAGGTGAAGGCGTTGCAGACGGAGGAGGAGACGGAGGTGTAGGTGGAGAGGGCGGCGGCGTCCGAGGTGCAGGCGGACTTTACGCAGTCGTTGAGCTGCGGGGCGTCGGTGCAGAAGGCGGCCGGGGTGGGGGTTGCCGTGGCGAAGTGGGATGAGAAGCAGGAGCTCTGGTAAAAGTGTGTTAGTAAAACGCATTCGGAGTGGATAAAGTTCACGAGAATTGAGACGGTAGGTTCGGGGGAGAAGTTGGGACCGAGACGTTGGGATGAACGTGTAAAAGCTTAGACTTACAGCGCATGATGCAACGCCGTTGCCGAAACCGCCGGGGCCGAAGCCGCCGAATCCACCACCGTAGGCGAATCCACCCCAGCCGGCGCCGTTACCGGGTCCAAAGCCGCCGTTTCCGGGTCCAATGGGGTTGGCGACAGCGGCAGCGCCCTGGGCCAAAGCAGCAGCAACGAAAGCAGCCTTCATTTTGATTGATTTGATTGCGATTTTTTGTTGTTGTAAAGAAAGGTTGATGAGAGAAAATTCCCTGCGCCTGCAGATGTAAATGCGTGTAAATGAGTTTTGGCTGATGTTTCTGTCGCGACGGAAGAAGGAAGATGAGATGCAATCCCGATGTGATGGTTCAAAACAACTTTCAAACAATGGACGAACTGAAGCTCCAACGACTTGTCTTTATATTTCATGGACAAACGACATGACCGCCTCTTGTCTCTCTGCCTCGCGCTTCCACGCACGCCCTCTCACACACCCCCTTCGACTACCGTTGCCTTACTCCGCTAGTCTCACTCAAATGCCGTACGAAGGTACTGCTGATGGAACACGGCATGGGGGGACATGGGGAGGAACAGACAGCTTCGGTCCCGAGCAGCCGCAGGGCCGCATGGCAAAAAAGACGAAAAGCAATGACAGGGTCTTGGCGCGCATCTTTCGTTTCCTCTCTCCTCTACTGGGAACAGTGGAGGCGAGGAGGAGCCGCCTTGGTCCCACGGACACCGCGGTTTGTGACTCTAGCTCTTTGAACCTCCGCAGATCCTACCGGATGCCCAGGCTACACTACTGGCTCCCTCTCACGCGCATCACACCTCCTCCCCCAGAGCCGTGTGTTCCCCCTCCATCCCACAACTCTGGTCTGCTTACCTTACCTCACATCCCAACAGCCTCAGCTCGCGCGCATGTCTCTCTCGCCCTGTCCGACCCTTGATCAAAGCCCCCAACCGCGCGGCCCTGCATGGCAGGATTACCCCCGCGGACGGTGTCACCAAGAAAAAGAAGGAACAAGAGCGTCGCGAGTGTGTGGATGTTTGCCCTCATGGACACACAGAGCCTCTCACCCACAAAAAGTCAGACTTTAGCTGCTGCAGTCGGACAAAACGCTAGTAGCTCGTCGGCAAGTATGCTTAGCTATTAGCTCCAACGGGGGTCCCTCTCGCGGCGTCGCTGAGAGGGCGAATGTGTAATGTGTGACACAACATGGAAAAAAGAATGGTCGTCCGGGATGGGGTTTGGGGAACACCGGTCCACCACCGCTAGCGTTCGGTTCGGCGATCCGTCATGTAAGTCCAAGCCAATCAACACCAACCTCCGTTTCAACCGCATTGCGCTCTCGGTCCCCCGGGTAACTCCAACATACCTGGGGAATAAGGTACTGTTTTAGTACTGGGTGAGGTGAGGAAGCACCAAAACGGCGGAGAAGGGGAATCCATCTCTTACTTGGTTTTCTCTATCGCGTATGTTCTCTCCCATGAGGAAGCGTCAGCCCACGTTTCCCACCCCATTCGGGGTTTTGGCAGAAGCATCAAAACAGAAAAAGGGCTGACGTATGCCTCTTGGGCTTCTATTCTTTTCGTCCGAATGGGTTGCCTTCCTGCTTCCTGCTGCCAACGGATCCAGCTCGTCGGGAACGGCGCATTGCACTGCACTGCACCTTCAAGTCGGGACGAGGACAAGAGAAGAAACGAAACAAAAACGGCGTCAGCAACAAAAGGAATGGATAATGACTGTCTTTGCGCCGGAAAGGGAACGTGACCACCGAGAACTAGGCCGAAGCGCGTTCTTCGCATTTGTTTCAGAGTATGTGCTTATCCTGCTCGCTCGGTGCCGGCTGATCGACACGCCATCACCACCACCACCAAAAACAGACCGATCGCCGTCAGGCTTTGGCAGCCCCGATCGTTGGCTTAGCTGCCGTCGTGCCGAGAGGCGAGGCTGGTCATATCTGCTTCAACTAAGGCAGGTACTCTCACGGGGCTTCGCGCAAGCCTCAAAGATGACGCGGACAGGTTGACACCCGCTGTCGGTGAGTAAGCTGGGGAAGCTGACCGGAAGTGAGAGGAAGAAAATGTCAATTGTTTCTGTGCGTGTCTATTCATCTCTAGTCCCACGTGTGTGTCGGATGTTCAGCCGTCTGCAACGCCGCCTCATCCCCTAGAATTAATCCCAACCCGAAAAAAAAAAAGAAGACCCTGCTTGCTTAATGCTGTGTTAGCAGGCCTGTCCACCTGAACCTGTCCATCTGCAAACTCCAACGCAAAAAGAAATGCCCGAAATTTCATCTCAAACATGCCATTGCTGCAGGGCAGTCCAGTCCCAAACTCATACAAGTAGTCCCTCGCCTTTCTCGAACACCGCCTTATTGGCCCAATGACGTCCGTCTCATCATCATCGTAAATCGAATCTTTGGACTCCAGGTTCAGAGGAAGCCTCTCCGAAATGTTGTCCGACTCAACTGCGTCCAATTCCACACAGGTCTGCGCTACAGCATCGTGCCAAAGGTGTCCTCCTCCTCCTTGAAGGGGATAGGTTTGCGCGGACTTGCGTCATCGGTGGTCTTCCGATGTCGGAATGTGAAGCCGACGAAGAGGCTCTTGCCCATCTCGTCATCACGGTCCGCCATAGTCTCGAGGGCCTGCTGCTTGTCATGCACCTCCTTGTACTTGGCCATGTCCGCCTCATTACTGAAGTCATCAAAGTAACCGGCGTCCGTCTCTGAATCGAGCTCGGGCACGAATGGAGCCTTGGTGGTTCGTAGCGTATCCCAGTCAACCTCGGCAAAGTAGTGGTGAGAGTTAATCTCCTTGAAGTTGGAAAAGCGCTTAGACCGAGAGTTGATGCAGCTGAAGCGTAGTGTTAGATGATGTCACAAAGCATGTCAACCATGACAGGGCCCACTTACGTCGTAATGAAGTTCCAAGTGCGGTTGCTGAGGAAGTAGTTAGGATCCTCCCAAACGGGCCGCTTGAGCACCTCACGCCAGTGCTTCAAGTTCCTCCAAGTCTCGTCAGGTGTGGAGCCCGCAAAGGGAGGGAATCCTGTCAGAGCCTCAAACAACATGCAGCCCAAACTCCAGTAGTCCACCGTGTAGTCATACTCGTCTCCTCGAAGAACTTCGGGCGCCATGTAGTCGGGTGAGCCAACAATGGACTTGGCGTAGTTCATATCCTTTGCGCGCATTGTCTGGTAGCCCTCCCTTCTCTCAGCTACTGTTCGCTTATCCATGGGCTTTCCGAAAGGTACTGAGGTCTCGGATGCCTTTTCGAGACGGACTCTCATAGATTCGATCTTGGCTGGCGCAAGCATACCAGCAGCTAGTCCAAAGTCCGTGAGCTTAACGTGTCCGGTAGAGTCGACCAAGAAGTTCTCCGGCTTCAAGTCTCGATGAATGTAACCAAGCTGGTGAAGAGCATCGACGGAGCAGAACATCTCGGCGATGTAGAAACGAGCATGACGGTTGCTCAGAACGCCCGTGTTGTTGAGTAGCGTGCGGAAATCTCCTCCAGGCACATACTCCATGGCAAGATAGATACTCTTGTCATCCTGGAATGAGTAGAGAAGCCGGACAAGCCACTCACTCTTGGCAGTGGTCAGGATGTCGCGCTCAGTCAACACGTGGCGAACTTCGTCAAGCTTGAACAACAACTTCTTGCTCATTACCTTCAGCGCGCAGACTTCCCGGGTGTCCTTCTTCTGCGCCAGGAAGACCTGACCGTAGCCTCCTTGTCCAACCTGGGTGAGGATCTGGAAATCACCCTGGCGAAGTCTCACTCGTCTCTTTCTGAGGTTTGCACGCTCTCGTCCCTTGTACTTTGACCACATCTGATTGTACGTCGCTTCATCGGTCTCTGGCGGAGGTGGGATCTCCGATTGGAAATTGTTCAGGCGGTTCTGTCTGGAGCCGACATACGTAAGAAGGTCGAAGTAATAGTCGAGAAAGTCTGCTTTCAGTCAGTCTTGCTTACGCCATGTTTAACAGAGTTCAACATACAGAGCTGTGTCACGTTGACGAGTCTTCGCACGTTGGGGCGCTGCAGGATCTCCAACTCTTCGGATGTGAGTGCTCTCTGGGTGTTGAACTTGTTCCTAGGAGTCACAGCCTTCTCCTTGGGCTGGTATAGCTCGTGACGGGAGATGGCAGCATGGCTCTGCTGGTAGGGAGAGTCGTTACCTCCCAAGCGCGAGACGGGGGGAGTGTTCTCCTGTCCATGGGACTTCTTCAAGGGGCTGCCTGCTGAAGTCGCTCCCTTGTGCAAGACGCTGTCCTCGACATTGGGACTGTATTCGTTGCCTCTCCCCGAAGACTGCGGGGTGGTGATCACACTCAGCGGGCGATCGAGTCTGGGTCTCTCCAGAACAGGTGTGCTCAACTTGAGCGCATTGTCGAAGGACTCGGGCAATTCGTGGGCGCCAGGGGGGTTCGTTCTCTTGCTAGGGCTGCCTTGGGGTGTGCTGGCTGGGTTGATGAAGCTGTTTCTTGTAGGCGTCTCGGGTCGCGAAGCTGCATTGTTGTCCCTGGTTCCTCCAGGAAACAGATTGGCCATGAAGCCCGACATTGTTGATGATGTTGCGAAGCAAACAGATTCGGGAGGGTGGATTGAGGGAGGATGCGGGCGGGGGGCGAAACGTAGCGACCAAAGGTATCAATCAACCAATGTGCTTGGAGGGGTAATCGAGAAAGATGTTTGGGGGAGGAGGATCGAAAAGCACTGCAAGGTACGAATAAAGTTGCGTGCTCGAGATAAAGCGTAACCAACGCGGGTTATTATGTTGTTATCTTCTCCGCCGTGGGGTTGACTTGGGTAGGAATCCAGGCGTGCCAGGGCGATGGATGGAGACAGACTGCCCAAGATCTACCCGACCTACGGAGGCTGACCACTGCACAGTCGATCGCTGGTGGGCACTTGCGTATTAGGGGGAACAAGGGAACAAAGCGACAGTGTTATTGGGTGCTGCGGGGCACCAAGTCAACAATGTTGCAGGGGCAACAATCATGCCCATGTCCAGCTGAAAGCTGCACGTGATGCGATAAGCGCTATCGATAGTGACATCTCGCCTTATCGCTATCAGAGCAATTGATCTTCCAAGGTCGGCTTAGAAGCTTCTTGTGACATCGATATTTAGACTTCTACAACAAACCCCATCACGTCCATACTCACACCCAAAATGCCGAAAGAAAAGAATTACAACCCAGTCAACGCTCAGCGTAAAGCTGACAAAGCGAAAGCAATCAAGAAGGGTAATGTCCCCAGTTAGCAACACATTAGCCAGTAAAGTCATCAATTAACCAACTACTCTTCCAGGCAAGGCCGAGGTCCAAGGCCGTCGCAATGAGAAGCTCGCACGGCGCAACCCCGAAAGACTCCAGAAACAAATAGACGACCTCAAGGGAATCACGACAAACGGAGGCAAACTATCGCGCCACGAAGAGCAGGTCCTCGAAGGCCTCGAGAAGGAGCTACGAGCAGTAAACAAGGCGCGCGAAGCGCTCGGCGACAAAGCGCCCACCTTTAGCCGCGGCGGCGGAGGAGGATACAACCGCGATGGCGATTCTTCCGGCGGAGTCCTCGGAAAGAGGAGGCGAGACAACGACGAGTTGACGAGCGATGAGGACGTTCCCGACGACGTAAAGCGGATCCCAATGCCCCGCGACACACCGCCACCGATTCCAAAAGAACTGATGGATAAGTGGTACGCAAAGAGACGCGCCAGAAGGCAGGCAGAGCAGGCGGAGAGGGAACCGCCAGAAGAGAGGGAGAAGAAGGAGAAGGAGGCCAAGGCCCCCGCGCCAGAGCCCAAGACCGTATACGAGGCGAAGCCGATGGTTCGGAATTTGACAAAGGAAGCCGTCACCGCTTTCGTGCCGACTCACGTCAAGATGAAGCTGGACAAGGGCAAGGGGCAAGGCGGTCTGATGGAACCTGAAGAGGCGGATCGACTGGAGCAGGAGGGCTACCTGCAGACGACTGCGTCGCTGGGGGATTCAGAGAGCACGAGACCCCACCAGGTTATGGTGGAGGAGGTGGAGGATGAGGACGTCTGAGTGGGGCCATATGGTTCAAAGAGCCAACGACAACCAAGCCTTGGATGTGGCCACGGATCCGACAAGTCAGGACGTGTCGCTCTTGGCTACCGTACGATACGCAAAGCATTGAGTGCTACTGCGCGCCAGGTGTCTACTCGAGTGCACAACCCCAGGAATGTACAGTTGTGAGGCGGACAGCGAGGATATCATCTACTAGAAGATCGCGAGAGCTTTATTTTCCCCAGATAAGGGGTAGATGACGAGGACGTCGACGACGCTCACAGCACGGAATTCGTGTTCCGCTATGGCTCTGATGGCAGAGTGCAATAGACAGCTGTGGGCACAGCCACGCTTTGCAGTTGGTGAGCCAGAGTAGCGCCTGAGATTGCGCCAGGCCGAGCCCCCTTGGATACACAGCTTATACCTCTGATATAGGGCAAACTATCAACTGGCTACGTTCAATAACAATTGCTTGTGTGCGAGGCCATTGTCTGCGCTTCCTTTACGAGCAGCAGTATTTGTGTAAAATAAGGTGCCTCCCCCCCTGACTGATGCCAAACGAAGATTCATTAGCATGCCTTGCTCTTGTGACATCACGGATTCGCAGCCCAGACCTATTTTCCTGGAAGACGGCATCCCTGTTGTCAGCATCGCCAGTTATCAACATACTAGAACCCCTTCTCCGAGCCTTTGGCCCGTCATTCAACATAGATACCAGATTATCTTAAGATCCTCAGCTATCTGCCCCCAGTTGAAAAGGGTATGTGCGGGCAACGGCCTGGACCTTTGACTTCCTCACTGCTGGACATTAGAAAAGCCTTTTCCGCCCATAGACATACAACCCCCCAAACGGACAGTCCATAGCCGGGGGTACATAAATCCGCCCCCCTTTAAATTGTTAATCTCTTCGACCCATCCCATACGCAAATTTTGTGCTTTTAATCCCTAAGCTCCCAAAAGTAGAAGTTTTGTCTCCCTCTTCGCCATTTTCATAGTTCAGACTCGGATAGTCACCTCTCCCTACATCAAACGGTCCTTCAAATGATATAGGAGTGACATGCTCTGAACCAGAGTCGCGGGTAGGTGGTGAAAGAACGGAAACACCCAGAGCAGAGAAACAGTCGGTGAGTGGACTTTTGTCCTCTCACAAGACTTTCGAAAGGGGGGGGGGGGGGCGTCTCAGAGAAATCGTCTCCCAGAGAGACAGAACAGAGGACAACGCCAAATCTTTCTAGTCTGTGTCACAGCCTCTTATAAACACCCCTCTGACTCGTCATTGAAGCAAAGGGTCAAAAACCTCAGCATTGGCTTCTAGGCTCTGGTCTCTTGGAGGTGAGAATGAGAGAGCAACCAGAAAGGGAGATAGGGCATGTCTGACCACCTTACCACAAAAGGGCGTATCAAAAGCTGTTTGGCCAAAGAGCAGCAACAAAATCCACTACTTGCCTCCAACTCGAGAAAAGCGAAAGCGAGGCGTGCTTTCTCACAGGAGAACGTACAACCTCCCCACCAAAAAGTCCCCATCTCGTAAAAGACCGTCGTATCTCGCTCCCGTCTGGCCTTGCGTTGCTGAAAATCCCGTTACATCGCATTGTTTCCGCCAAGCATCGTTACCTTGACCAAAATCACAAAAAGAAAAGAAGGGCAAGAAAAAAACTGCCGACCTAGGCTGTCCCTATACGAAGAGACAAGAGCTTCCATCCGTCCACTCAGCCGCAGCAAGAAAAAGAAAAAGGCTCAAACTTGCCGCGGATCCGAGAAAAAAGCTTAAAATCTCAAGTCTTTGCAGAAACTACGGGCGTGGGACTTCGACATGGCAAACACGACCTAGAAACGTTGGGGCTCTATCCATCGCCATCAGGCGAAGCCTGCCTTTGCCCCTTTTCTGCAACCAACAGATGCCCATGTACTTGAAACTAGTCAGCATGTAACGGTACAGCGCATTCGCAAGTTATTCTGTTTGTGTAACCGGGATGTTACGTCTGCAACTGATGCTATTCAGACCACAAACCACGCTCAGAAGCGTTGGGCAACAGCCCGGGTCATAGGTCCGTCGGTCCGTCTGTGGAGAGCTGGACATATCTCAAGGTTTGAGACATGAAGCCAAACCCTGAAAGCTTTCCAAACACGATCTGGTATGCCTAGTGTAGTCAACAGAGCTAACTACCAAGGCTGGAAAGCAGGAAGCTTTGCCTCGCCATCAACCAAACGGTATCTTTGAGATGTGCAAATAGATCAGAGCTCCTTGAATCCAATAACCAACAACGCACATGGTTCAGAGACGGCATCCACATGCTCTGCCACGTGTAAAGCAGGAATAACATCTCGAGACCTCCATCGCCCAATTATCGCTTCTCCCATGGGGTATACACCCCCCCTGTATCGACTTCCCCAAGCTGATTGGTTGCGGTTCTTGCCTTTTCATGTTCCGTCATACTTTAGTTGGTTCTCGGCATAAGCTGTCCAACATTTCTTCCACACCAACATCACCGCGGATGTAGCCGTAGAGGCTCCGTGCAGTCAAGGGTTCAAAGAAGCCCATTGAATATCAATCGATCAGCTTTCGGTCGGGAGGCCAAGTCGGTATCCCGGGAAGCCCCAACAACTGCAGTCGTACGAAGGAATCAGCAGGCTTGGGAGTGCCTGCGGGATTGCATCTGAAGAGACCCTGGGCAGATACATGTGAGCGGCTGGCCTCGGAGCGGAGCTTCCGCCGTGGCAAGTAGGATTCGAAGAGTCTCCTGAATCTCGAGCAATGTCCTTTCCTGGATATGCATGCGACTCTGCGCGCGGCAAGTGAGCAGAAGTCAGTTCATCCACGCAATAGCATATCACGGCCCTGGTATATGCACTCAATGGGCATCTGTAGTCGCCTTGAGAAGTTGACGTTCCAATTTGATCGGCCGCGGAGAGGCGGAGGTGGCTCCCTTGGTACTTCTGGTGCCATTCATCGTGAACTTGGCTGTGTCGCCCTCGACAACCGACGTATCTGTAACTTCCAGCAGAGCCTCTCTGACTTGGTATATTGAATGCTTGTAAGTGGTGCAGTTTGCAGTTGAAGAGATAGAAAACTTTTCCAACAGTTGTCAAGGTATAATTCGAGGCGAAGTGCTGAAGCGAGTGGAACAGAACGGTGAGACATAGCTGCCATCTTGGGATCCAGCGATTTGCGACCTAAGACAAGTCGATAATTCACCGATGCTGCCTCTTGTCATCCGTGGCGTTTAGCTTTCGTCTTCGGCAGTTGTTAGATGCTCGCTCAGCTCGAAAGCTGCATAACGGCGCGTAAACGGTAAAGTGGGTGTTGTCAATTTGCCTTGCGAACTTGCTTTTTCCTTTGGCTATCCGGGCCCGATTGCTTCAATCGTTAGAAACTCCGATATACCATGCCAAGCGGCGGTCAACAAGAATGTGAGATGGGAAGATTCTGGTGTAGGCGCATATTTCCGAGTCTCTGTTGCATGATCCTCATGTTTGACGTCCAGCACCAGGGCTGATGCTGCAGCCAGTGGAGCTTCGGAAGTCGGGTGTGTGCTAAGTGTCAAATGGTGGTATGCCTTTGCATGTGTTCGTTGAGAAAATGACATGATACAGATTGGTGGAGTGACAGTGATGTCTTCGCGACAATGCATTGCTCCCGATGGTTGCTTTCTAGACGTGAGCCACTCCACCTAACCTATGGCTGGGATGACACATCCAGGACCATGTCGGATGCCCATATCTATGACCTTCAGCATTAGCCCGGGGAGTAGGATCACATTTGCCTCGGAGATATCGTAGTGCTTTGAAGGTATCATGAAAAGTGAGGAAAATTTTGGGTCGTAGAGAACAATTGTGCTCCTTATCCTCGATGCGTAGTATAATGTAGCTGTTATTGATTTTATTTGGAAAGATGCTAATGTGTAGGATGTAGCGCGCAGTGGGCCAATTTCAGAAAACGAATCTCCCACATAAAAGCACACAAGGATTGTTGTGGTACCCGGGAAGCGGTGCATGGAGGTTGGTGTCAATCAGGTTGATAGCGATGGTGTAAGGTGGGGGATTATCCATGGAAATCAAGCGTGAGGCGCTTCGATGCTGGGTCGGCTAGCAGGCAAGGGACCTAGGGTAGGAGAAGTGGCATCGAGATCGTCGTGGCTTGTAGTTGGATCGTTGTTTCGATAGCGGGGATGTTTCCAATTTGGGCTGTCTGGTGCAGCGCTGAATTGTTCGGTGCCGTAGAGTCGGTTCGTTCGTAGTCAGACATGCCTACAAGACATGATTAGTTATCTGACCATAGGATCCTGGCGTAGGTAGTTGGATCAAACACTGATGACTGCCAAGGGTCATCAATGAAGATGTTGAGGATGTCTGCGAGGCATCGTGGGTTGGTTCTTGAGGCAAAATGGAAAGGGGCCGGCCGAGATGTGGAGATGGAGGATGAGATGCAGGCTATGGTGGTATTTTGGCGTAGCTACTGGATTAGTTGACAGAACATCTGGTCCGGGTGTTTTCTTGACAAGGGTGATCAAGACGGAATCTTGGTCCAGGATCGTCGAGTAGTGTCCAAGGCAAGCCGCACCACGTCTCGATGCCTGCGCGTCGCATTGGCGTTGATTGGCTGAGCGTCAACGGCCGATAGAGGGGGAGGATCGTTTCTGGTAGGTAAGCGCGAGAAGATGGGCCAGTGGTTGGCATTGAGGGTGACTGGCGAGAGGTTCTGCTGGGAGCAAAAGTGTGCGTGTCTTGGGAGACTGCAAGCCGCGATGGCGATGCCGATGGGTTGGGGCCTGGGGAAAGAGATGGAGATGGCGATGATGGATGGGCATTACCGGAAATCGCAAAGGCAGTGTGGCATGATTACATGTGATGAAGATGGAAAATTGATTGGAGGGAGTTGGAACCGATTGGCTTTGGACTTTTCTTCTCCTTGGCTGCCTCAAGGTACGTTACGGTAAGGCAAGGTAAGGTGAGGTAGGGGAAAGTGCGACGGAAAGCTGAATGGAAGGGGAGGGGTAGGAACGGATACGTCGGTGAGGTGAAGGCTGCATCTCATTACGGCGCCTCGAGGATCCTACCTACCTACCTTGGGGTAACTGCAAGTAAGAAGCCACGCTGAGCACACCGTGATAAGCGGTCCACGCAGGCGCAGACGTACGTTACTGACAGACGCACGTTGGAGCCGGATGTTATGCACCTCCCGGTCTGGTACCTATTGGAGCGAATTGGAGCGAACTGGACCTTTCACACGCCTTCCATTAGCAGCCAAGAATAGGTAGACCAAGATGATCCTTCTACAAGTATCCACCGCCCATAGGTAGTTAGCAGGTGCGGCCAATGGAAGAAAAAGGACAACGGAACTTGGTTAACCAAGGTAAGGCATCGTTGGGATGGCGACGCAAGTCGTTTCCAGGTTCTTTGCACTATCAAGGGTTAGTAGATCTCGGTTCAGGCCATCTTACGTGCCTAGATCTGGCTATGGGGAGGGAAAGACCCGCCACGATGACTTTGAGGTTGGGTGGGAGGAAGTGTGGCAAAGATGCGACGGTGAGGCTTGACAAATGCTGTGACTGTGGGGAAGCAGAGCCCAGCTTGTCTACCCAGGAATGGCAAGGTAATTGAAGTCAAAGCATGACATGCCTTAGCGTTCCAGGGTTATGAAGCGCCGGTGCGTCTACGAGTTATCGGTAGCATCAAGTGCTGTACTACGTACAGCAAGTTGAAAGAGTGAAGAGGAGGTGGAAACTGAGGCATAACTAAGAAAAAGGGGGGACCGGGCAGTTGGGATGGAAGGCACCATGAGAGAACGGGACCGGGAAGCGAAGGAAGCCAACCTAGAAAGGGATATGGGAGGAGCTGCGTGCCTACCTAGGTACTAATTAGAACACGAACGATTTGTTTTCTTGGGGCAGGAGGGCCCAAGCCGCCCAGGACCTACCTAATTTAAGGTACCTTAAGGTAATGGAAGGAAGATTTGCCACCCAGCGCCTTTCCCATGCCGGAGTTTGATCCGGCGGCCAATCAGCAACATTGATTTCACCGGATTGAATTCCGCCACGTTGGGCATCCATCACTGGCCGACTCGCCGTACTCTTCTAAAATCCGCCTGCCCAACCTATCAGGAAACAGAAAGAACCACTCACCTTTCCTGCCTTCATTTCGGCCCTCCCATACCGATCGTACGGAATATTACCTTGAACATCCAGTATCCGTACATCCCATCCATCATCCTCCCTGTCGCCGGCGACGTTGTTGCTACCGTCTGCGCACCAAGGCCCGTACACAACCACGGTCCGAGTCACTGGCTGTTCAATTTTGCCACCCTCACATCTTCCTCCTCCATCTCATCCACCACCACCACCACTACCACTACCACTCATCCACTCAACACCAGCGTCTTCTCGTCCTGCTACTACTCCTCCTTCTTATCTCAATATCCTCTGATCATTGTACAATGTCTACCAAAACCTACACTTCACACAGCCCTGCCACTTCTCACAATTGCTGGCAGATCCCTTGAGTTCACGGATACTCCCCAGCTTGACTCCCAGGAAAACTCCAATTTCGGCTTCGATCTCAACCTCATTTCAGTCTGCACTTTGGTCTGCAGTCTCGGCTTCACAATGCGACCTCTTTCTCGGCCGTCTTACTCTACCTTACCATTCTGCTGGCCACTACCAACACATTCCGACTTTGCCGTCTTCTTACCATCAAAACCTTGCATTGGCCCCTTGAGTTCCGCTGCAGTGGACAGCCCCTCAGCTGCCGCCCTCATGCTTATCCACCCTTCCCTTCGTCTTTGCTGCTTCGATACACAAGATGCCAATTATGACTATCATGCGAGGAAAGGCTTCATCTCTCCAGGCAAGCAGCACACCTTCGCTTCGTGTACACCACCCCGTGTAGGTGTAATGCGCCGTCTGTCGGTTCTGTCTGTTGTTTAAGACATCTGGCAACTCAGGTCGCCTGGCGTGAAAAGACACGCATTGGGTGGAACAGCTGTAAGTCTATCCGTATTCTCTCACTCTATCCCCTGTCGGTCCCAGCCCCAGTAGAAACCCCCGACACGCATATCCCCAGCCGGAGCCTTTCTCCCACCTCCTTCATTGGGGCCCTGCTCAAATATCCTGTCGCGCCCCCATTCATCGCCATGGCACTACAACCCCAGTCACTGTATTGCCCGTATCCTGCCATAGACTTTGCACCATACGCCCAACCCCAAGCTGGTAAGTAGGTAGGAGTTCCTCTTCCTCCTCCTTCTCCTCCTACTCCTCCACCCCTGGCTTCCAAAACTAATCTTTTTTTTTTTTTTTTTTACTCGACCATCTTCTGTCAGCATCTTCTTGCGGCCAAGATACTCATATGTCCCCTAACCCAGATACTAGTTGCTTTCCAGCTGAGTTCTGACTTTTTCTCTGGATTCCGCTGGCACCGCCGTCAAGGCTCAAAACAACGTACCCTCTTCAGAGTCCACCAAGATTCTTGTAAGAAACCGAAGCTACAGATTTTCAACCGAAGAAGAAGAAGAAGAAGAAGAACACTCTGTTGTCCATGTGGACGGCAACATGATGGCTCAGTCTGCCTACCCTGAGCTGGTGCCAATGTATACGTTACCACAACAACCACCCCAAACGCCTATCAACGAGCCTCATCTGTGCCAGCGGTGGTCTGGATGCGATTGCCACACGACTGAGTTTTCCATGGCCTCCGTGCACCAGGAAGTCGAGATTCAAGCCTATCGGTTGTTCGACGCAACAGCAGGGACTACGTCAGACTTCTCGACGGCCACTTGGGCAACCGAACGCGAATCGTGGCCTACATACCAGCAATCAGACTTCCAGCCACCTGAACCCATGGTATACAGTTCACACCATCTATGGCCAAATCCCGTTGACAGTCCTCCTATCCCAGGCCAAGATTGGCAGTACACACCCGATTTTCAACTCCAAGCTAGCCCGGCCCCAGGAACAACGGCAACATGCCATACGCCGAGGGTGTCTAGAAGTCGACAGCCGGAATCGATGAGTCAACCACCCATGAAGAAGACACGTCTTGTAGCGAGAGAGCACGTCTCACCGATGTACATGGCTCCTTTCGATGCAAACACGAATGGCACCGAGGCCGCCCACGAGCACAAAGAAAGTGACCATGACACTTGCTCTTCACCAAGACCGGAAGGGAAAAAGACGTATCGCGTCAAGAACCGAGCCGCCGCAAAGCGATGCCGCGAGAAGACAAAACAGCATGAGTTAGATCTCGCCGCTCAAGAGCAGCGAGTCACACAGGAGCGAATGTATCTCGATGCCTGTGTATCTGCGCTCAAAAACGAGGTTCTGGTTCTGAGAAGCCAGATTCTCGAACACGGGGACTGCGACTGCGAGATGATACGAGGATATATCGCAAGAACAGCCAACAATGTCAGCATCGGGCTTCATGGAGAACGCCAGCTGGTTTAGGGAGAGGTCATCAACATCATTTACTCAGCTTGCATTTCGATGCCGGATGGACGAAACGAAAGAAGGTCGAACGAGATACAGTATCGAGCCTCAAGTATAACGAAGGACTCTTGATACTAGCCTCACATCTGAAAGATGGCGAGCTGATACAATGATGACCGGCATCCAGCACAAGATGCAACATGAGCAAGGAGGTAAGCTTTCCTTCGTTCGTTCCTTTGAGAATTCCTTGTTCTCAGCTTCTCGCTCGAGTAGCCAAGAAATGAGCTCTATTGTCGAGACTTTGGTAAGAGTCTACAGGTCTACCTTACATCCTTCCTCAATTCCCAACTCCTGAAACACGGCTATCATCACGATGCTAATCGTTACTCTCCCTCCTCTGTTTAGACACAAGCTAATCACTGCTGTAGGCATATTGCACTGACCACAACGGGTTTGTGCTGTGCTCTCTCCACAAATCTCTGCTGCAATGTTGCGATGCAGTCAGCCAACCACAACGACAATTTGGAGAAGCGCTCTGAGGGGTACAAAACCCCCCACCACAAAAAGACGCCCCGGTTTGGCTGGACATCTTAGAACCACCCCCGCCAATCAACGGTCGACTGAGCCTGCTCCAGACGCTAAAAACGACCTGATTAGCAGTACCGCATGTACCTCGACTTGTTGGCGGGTTGCATTACAACTGGCGCAACCAAGGTCTTTGTGCAACCAAATGATCTCCTGCACTCAACTGGTTTCTTTTCTTCTTTCTTCAGGCCTTTTCGTGGTCTCCCCCGCCTTATTCTCTTTGGCGGAGTTCCTTCGCAGTCGTAAGTGACTGGTTCATTATCCGTCGTCTCGCGGGTGCACAAGGCTTGGGGTATCAGCAGCCATAGGCAGAGTCTGCAGATTGTCGGGAGTGTCTAATCCTAATTCCTGGCTGGGCTGCTGACACGAACCGACAGCTGAGCTGGGGTCCGATGCGCCAGCAAACTCTCGATAGCCACAGCGGCCACTCGCACCTACGACATCCTTGCATTTCTGTCCCTTCTGTGGATGGATGGATCGCGCAGCAGCAGCCTCAACCTTGCTAATGGGCTGGCCTGGCCATGGCCAGACGATTCCATGGCTTTGGGGAGCTTTGCGAGCCAAACTTAACCTCTTTTATGTGGTTTTCGTTTATTAATATTATTTTTTCGTTTCTTCCCTTTTCGGTTTTCTTATTTACCTAGGGGGAATCGCGGCAGCTTTCCCGGCACCGGAACAATCCAAGTGGCCCAGCCAGCAACGGGCACGGGGATTTGGCTTGAGTCTTGTCCATCCATTTCGTCATACCTGGCTACCTCAAGAGCTCCCAAGAAATTGAGAAACTACTCATCGGGACGGGCCTTGTCAGCACTTCCAAACACCTGCAACAGCATAATAACATCACGACGATAACGAGAACGATTCAATCACGACCAACATGGCCAGCGGGTCGGCAGTATGACACGCACCGTCAAAACGACTGAGACTTACCAAGCGACGCGGAGGGCGGATCTGGTCTGGCGGTTGAGGCCCGCTCTGGTTCTGGCTCTGGCTCTGCCTGTACCCTCTCTCAATTCGTCCACCCGCGCCATTTCAATTACTACGACGAATACGCAGACCTCGCCGTACCAGCTACACGCCTACGCCCATAATATTTACGCCTCCTTTTCCACTGTTTGTGGCTATCTCGGTTGCCCACCAGGCCTGCCCATGGTCCTGTGGCAACGCTCACGATGAAACCACAGCGCGAGCTTTTACCTGCGGGCCCAACAGCAGCCAGCAGCGCCTCGTCGGAGCGGGAGACAACCCCGCAATCTGCCACTGGTACCACGTCTTCTGCACCAAGACGACGTCCGCAGACCAAAATCGCCTGCACCTCATGTCGTCGCAGGAAATCAAAATGCGATGGCCAACGTCCCGTGTGTTCCTTGTGCGCGGGCATGGGTCGCACCCGCTGCGAGTACGATGCCGGCCCCGACGTCACACGCTTCGCCGCCCTGAAAACAAAGCACGAGGAGCTTCAACGCCGCCTTTCTCTCTTTGAAGAGCTTTTCCGCCTTCTATCTATGCGCTCCGAGCCGGAATCAGTCGAAATTATCAGGCGGATGCGGACTCTGAATATAGAAACCGACCTGGACGACTTGGTCAAGTTTATCAAAAACGCAGATCTGCTCATCCAGCTGGCTTCTGCACAAGCCGAACCCCCTGCAACGGGGACACCCACGAACCTCCAAGACCCTCCCGCCGAGGATATCTCCTCCCTACTCGAGCTATTGTATATCACACTCGGCCGCTCATGGCTTCTTCATTCTCTGTGGCACTAGCTGACTCAAAGATATTAGAAATTCGGCGGTTTCTAAACTCGACGCAACGGGTCGCTTAGCCTTTCTTGATACGATAAGACTTCAGATCGAAGCCTTTATCACTACCGAGCGTAGTCAATCTGGCCCCGTTGAGTCGGTCAAGATGGAGGGGCTGGTCGACGGGGAGACGGACGGTGCTGTGGATGGAGAACTGCAGGATGGCGTGGATGGTGTACACCACCATGAGTCAGGGGTTCCTCTCAAGCGACTACTAAATGAGGATACGACAAAACCGAGATGATGCAAGATGCATATTTCTGGAAGGCCGGCACGTCTTTGCATGAGACGTACGATGGTCGAAGCTTATGACTGGGCGAAGCAGTTGGGCTCGCACGAGGAAGGCGTTTCCAGACTGATGAGCAACGCTCGAGACGGCAATATCTACAGAATAGCCGCAATTCCCTCGGCGGCGCAATGGGTCGACGTCCTGCCCATACAACAAGAGATTTTCCAACGACAGTATTTTGCCTGGTATCGGGAGACCACGGGCCTTTGGGGGCAGCAGGGCTGTTCGAATTCGCGACACCGACTTTGACACATTATGGCTCGTTCAAGGTTCCATAGCGGGACAAGGAACGGGACGGCATGAGGTTGGAAATGCGGGCACGGGAAACACCGAATGCCCGAATTCGTGTTCAGCGATTGCACGGGCAGAAACGGAGCACGAAGTTGCATCTGAGGACACCATTTGTGCCTTTCGGAAATTCACTATGCCCGGGAAAGGGGGCGGCGCGCGAAAAGAGAAAAAGTCAACATGACAAGTCTTATGACGGATCCAAGTTGAGGCAAAAGATTCAGACATGATGGCGAGGTATCGTGATATTTCAACGGACTCGGATTATACGGCACATGCCGAGTCTCTTCATACCACACAAAAGGAACAGTGAGCCTGCATCTGGAAATAGAACGATATTATTCGGTGCCTTGAAGCAAACACCCCCATGGGCCCAAGCATGTGACCCGTCCTCTGATCAAACACATCAAGAAGTCGAGCTTAAGCTTTCAAGTAGAGCCCTCCGACAGTGTCAACCCACAAAAAAAGGTCTACCGGGGGTGAGATGGGCTGGCTCTCACTTGAGCCTCTTCCGGCTGTACGTCAAATGAGAATGTCTTGATCAGAACGTCATGATGCGCACTGATGAGAGGGTGTGGTCCATGCCGAAGCACTAAGGTAGTCCAGGGGTGATTTGTCCCTTGTACGCTGGTACCTAGTGAAGAATTGGGTATCCGTACCAGACTATGGGGACGTCTTTTTGGGCTAATTTTTTTCTATTTTGTTCTATTCCCCCGGTTTGCGGTGCACTTGTTTTTCCCTTTTCCAACGGTCGCCTCAAAGGGGACGGACGATATCTCATGTTCCCAGCCTTTCTAGCCTTACCGGGCGTGCAGACGTACGACGCCTCGGGCCGAGTATTGCATTCATTATGTGCCCTTGCCTCTGTGTTTTTGATGATCAGATGTTTATCACGGTTTGGCCGACAGGGGGAGAAGATATTGGACAGAAAAGACACGAGAAATTGAGTGGTATTCAAGCAAGCGTATAATTTACTGATGCACCGTCATGGTTTTGGAGAGCTGAAAGTACGTGCCACGCACGTGGTAGCGTTTTCGGAAAGGGGAAGAATGATTCCATGAAGGCGGGCGTATCAGTACGTAGTACCTTTGAATACGGGTACCAATACAAAGCTTGGGACCGGCGGCAGGCAACTAAACCAGCTCCAGGCGGGGGAAAGAAAAAAAACAATAAATGGCGGTAAGAGAATGGTGGCTGGGAAAGGGGATAAAAAAGAGAGACACACAATAGGGGAAAACCAAAGCTCTGAGCGATGAACATTGAGGATCAAGATCAAGAGACAATACCAGTACGATCTCGATCGTCGATGAGGGTTGTTTGGAGGCTGGCCCCATTGGGAGAAGGCCCAGAAGGAGTGAGGAGGAGAACAAAAAAATAAAGGCTCTGACGTGCGGATAGCGGGTACCCTTTCCCATCTGAGCTTATTATCCCCCCCTCCCCCTCTTCAGACGGCGCGCCGCGTTGAGGCCTTGAGGCTCAGGCTAGCAGCCTGGGGATCACGATGGCACTTTTAATCGATTTATTGTTTGCGGCTGCCAGTAAGGTAGCGGCGGTACCAGTGGTCACGAGAGCGGTCGGCAAGGCCTCGGCCGATGTGGTTTATCGGTTCCGACTCGCGGTTCCGAAGAGGGACCTTTTTTTTCCTCGTCCAAGGACCTCAAGTTCCATGTTCCTTGGAACTTTTGAGATGGTGCAGGAAATTTAGAGCCTCAAAGCCCGGTGCGAAGGGGGAGGAGGTTTGTTGCCATCATGATACCTTTACCTACCCCATAAGAACCGGGAAGAAGCGCTGAAATATCGGTCGACGGTGCCCCCTCCAACACTCGCGATAGCAACCAACCTCGAACCCGATCAGTTATCTCATGACTTTTGCCAGCTGCTCGCTCCGTTGCGATGGGTACCTGTTTGCTCTACCTGCATTTTCTGGGTCGAATGATGATCGGGTGTTCTTCCGTGCGCGTTGTGTGTGCGATGTGATTCGTGAGGATTTTTGTCAGAACACGGCGCTTGTTCCGGTGCTTAGTGATTGGACGGCAATTCTTTCGAGGTTTTTTTTTTGGAAGGACGGAACTGAGGGGGGACAACACGTTGTGGTGCCCCGCTTTTTCAATCCTTTCCGTCTCAAGAAAGGACTGGGGCCGGCTCGGTGACAGGTGAGATCTAATACTAGAAGGGTAGTAAGAGGGGTTGAATAGCATGGCTTAGGTAAGTTGGGGAGAGAGAGGGACAGAACATGCGGCGGCGCAGCGGGCTTTGTTGTTTGGCGCGGGATTCTCCGTGGCTGAGTGTTGAGTCCTTCCAAGGTCAGGTATAAGATTTTGGCTGTGACTCTGTGAGCTGGATCATGAATGAGGCTGGCTGGCACGTGCCAAGGAGCAGTTTCCAAGGCGAGAGCACATGGGAGGTACCAGCATCTGAAGAGGTACCTTCGGTATCCGTTGGTAAGGTAAGTTGACGGAGAGGTGACCCAGTCGCATGTTGGATCGGGGGCGGGCGAGGTACCTCACCTCGACTTTCTCGAGTGAGCCGCAAGCGGATCATTGTCAGGTAACACTTATTTGCTAAGGTAAGGTAGTGCACAGATTCAGATTGACTTGAGCGGATGTATAAAGCGGATGTACGCAGTATTAGGTAAGCGAGTGAGGTATGAGGCTCGAACCATGGCTGGGTTTTATAGGAAAGGTATGTACTTTGAAGAATGGATGGGAAGGGGAGGTTGTTTCCGAGGTGCGAAGCGGCCGGAGCCGGCGTGGGTGGGCGGGCATGGCAAGGACACGAGGGTCGATGTGAAGCGTCGGCGGCTGGCGGGAACCGGAGAGCGCATACCTTGCCCCTACGCAGTAGTAGCACAGGCGAGCGAGAGGGGGGTTTGAGCCGGCGGGTGAACAGACTTTTTTTTTCCGCTGCCGGCCGGATGCCGTTGATGACTAGGTATTATGCCTCCTCCGTTCCTCATATGTGCGTTTCATCGAGGGCATGATCTCGCTTCTGCTGAGCGGGTCATGGATTCAGTTCAATAGTGAAATCACCACTTTGTTCGCTTGTGTACGATAGTCGAAGGTGTCATATACTATCTGACTCGAGTAAAGATGGGCAATCATGTCTGATCTCGATCAGAGACAGACATTTGGGGAGAGGAATATCATTGGAATAGCGTCTTAAATATAATGTCATGATTGCGTTATTCGATAATTCGTGGTTCAATGGCAGCGTTTTTTTTTTTTTTTTTCGTGTGGAGAAGCTGGAGCCGAGGGGGAGCTAGGTAGGCACCTTTGGCGGGGGAACGTCTTGGAGACAGATGCTAAGAGAAATCGCGATAGGGCGGTATACCGTGTATCCTGCATAAGGTAAGTTCCCCCATTGGAAAGGGCGGTTGTCTTGTAAGGCATTATTGCATTATGCGGCTCCACAGACCAGGAGAGGGTGCTCCGAGTATGTGTCTGCGGGTCTACTTGTCTCAGAGACTCAAGACAAATTCGGTGTTGGATAAGTGTCATGCGTCGGATCTGGTCTGTTGGGCCAAAAGGACCTGACTGATTCATGATAATTCTTACCCATTGTGGGGTTTCTCGCTTTTTCTTGGGAGACGCCGATTCTCGGCAACCAGAAAGTCCAGGCTCTTGAAGTTGGGTTTTCATCGACTAATTGAAACACGCCATTGGTCAGTTTCTGGCTCGCGACTTCGTCTTGGAGCCGCCCCCCCGAACGACGCCCTTGACTAACATGAACTTGTCAGAGAAGGGCCACATGTCAACAGACGACATGACCAATTTCTTTGGGGGTTATTCGCTTTATTCCCACCAATATTATGCTAATAGCCTAACCGCGTAAAGCAAAACGAAGGAGAGCGGCGCATGGCATGAGTGATGCCTGAAAGACATATGTCGATCCGAAAAGACGAATGGTGAAAAAACCAGAGGGAAATAAGGCCGGGGTTTGGTTCGGTTGAATTACCCACATCAAAAGAATGCCATCAAGAAAAACACGAACCCGCGTATCGTTTTCCCTTGTAGTATACTATACGGTGACATCTTACGAAACCTCAATAGCTAGTAAGGTCCACGTAAACCAGCCCTATCCCGGCCTAGTAAAAAGAAGCCGGGAACCTACCTTATTCACACAACGAAACGGCTGTCGGTTGTCCCATTCCCCCGTCGTTCGCAGGACCCCTGGGGAGGGAAGGCAAATCTGGGGTAAAGGAATTTTTTTTTGCTTCTTCTTCTCTCTTGTCTCTCTGTCGCCCTTTGCACACATGACTGCATGACTTATACCTCTTTTTTCGCCTCTTCCTAAAAGAGTTTCATTGTCCTTTTGAAGCGAGGAGCCGCGTGCGTAGACCTGGGGTGTATGATTGGCATGGAAATGACTGGATAATTGCATCAAATCACCTAACCCAACGACAAACTCAACGAAGGAGCGCGAACCCCTACTACCCACTCACCCACCACCACCCCCAGACCAAGCCTAAACTCTAGCCGAAAGACCGAAGAGGCGAGGGAAACTAGTAAGAAAAAGTACAAGTAGGTTCGTTGATCCGCTCTCTCCCTCTCTCGCAACGGCCCGTAGTAGGATAGTGTTGGTATTAGTCGACACTGCTCCCTCCTTCTCCCTGAGCTTGATCCCTGTTTTATGAGAGACGGGTACCTGTCAGGCTTCGACACTCTTGTTACCGTTCATTGCTCTCCCCACAACGAGTCTGGTTTGATAGGACAGAGAGGTTTCGAAGGCTGAGGCAGAGGTTGTTATATGGAAACGTGAAGAAGAGCAACTCGTGTACAAGACAGCAACTTGAGGCGAAGACAAGGAAAAGAAACGAGAGAGGAGAAAACGTGGCCGACAGGGTTGCAGAACTGCAAGGCGGAAGTCAAAAACCAGGAAGAGGGAACAAGAAGAAGACCTGAAGATCGAAGGGGGAAAGATCCAAAGACAGACCCAGCACGAGACATAATACGGAGGCTCGCTCTCCTCTCTTCCTCTTGTCCTCTCTCTCATCCTCCTCTCTTCTACCACCCACCCACCTATTCCACATGGATCCGGAAAAGGCTTCCACAGCCCGCCAAGGCGACCACATTACACCCGAACAGGACTACAGCAACTATGACTACCCGCTCCCCAGCAAGCCAGAGAGCGCGGCCCACGACGGCGCCGCTGCGGCCATAGGCAACGACCTGATTCCCTCCGTCTCCAACGCCGTCGCCGGCGCGGGCGGCGCCATCTACCATCACCAACACAACAGCGACTTCATCAACAACAGCAACAGGAACAACAAAAATGCCGCCTACAGCATAGAAGCCGGAGTAGGAGGAGAAGGGGGTGCCGGCGACACCACCGACGACGACGACGACGGCAACTACATCCACCGCACCGACACCGCGGGGGTCGCCTCAACGACAGCAGCAGAGGAAGAAACTTACCCCGAGGGCGGGCTCCGGGCGTGGTCCGTCGTGCTGGGGTCCTGGCTGGCGCTCTTCTCGGCCCTGGGCATCATGAACAGCATCGCCATCTTCCAGACGTACGTTGCGACGCACCAGCTCAAGGGGTACAGCGAGGGAACGATTGGGTGGATTTTCTCCGTGTATACGTTCCTCTGCTTCTTTGGGGGTATCTATATCGGGCCCGTGTTTGATCAGTATGGTCCGCGGTGGCTCGTTCTCGCTGGAACGGTGTGTCTTGTCGTTGGCGTCATGTTGCTTAGTATCTGCACAGGTAAGTCATACACACAGTTTCTTGCATCGGCTCGCCTTGTTGCAGCACGTCATATCATCACCCCCGCCCAGACTTACATCGCTCAATACATCCGTCATCCCCAAACGAATCAAACACACGACAGCGCGCTAACACGCCTTCCCAGTATACTGGCACTTCATGCTCGCCTTCGGCATCCTCTGCGGCCTCGGCAGCTCCCTCGTCTTCACCCCGTCCATCGCAGCCGTGGGCCACTGGTTCAAGCGGCGCCGCGGCTTCGCGACGGGCATGGCCTCCACCGGCGGCTCCATCGGCGGCATCGTCTTCCCCCTCATGATGAAGTCCCTCTTCCCCCGCATCGGCTGGGGCTGGACCATCCGCGCCGTCGGCTTCATCTGCCTCGCCCTCTGCGGCGCCTCCAACTTCCTGATCCGCTCGCGCCTCCCGCCCGCCCGCAACGCGAGCCCGCACCCGGACCCGCGCATCTTCCGCAGCGCGGCCTTCAGCCTCACGACGGCGGGCATTTTTCTGATGGAGTTTGCGCTGTTCATCCCGCTGACGTACATCTCGAGCTACACACTCAGCCAGGGGTTCAGCGAGTCCTTTGCCTTTTCCATCCTCCCCATCCTCAACGCTGGTAGCGTCCTCGGCAGGGCGCTACCCGGTTGGTGGGCCGATAGGGCCGGACCTTTCAACAGCAACATGGCCGCCATCGTGCTGTCCGTGGTCGCGTGCTTGGCCGTCTGGCTGCCCGCGGGCTCGACGGCGGCGGGCGTCATCGTCTTTGCCGTGATGTTCGGGTTCGCGAGCGGGAACAACATCAGCATCAGCCCCGTGTGCGTCGGGCGGCTGTGCAAGACGCAGCATTACGGGCGGTACTACTCGACGACGTATACCGCCGTCTCGATCGCGTGCCTGATTGGTATCCCTATTGGCGGCGAGATTGTCACGGCGACGGGGGGCCAGTATTGGGGTCTCATCATCTTCACCGGGCTGGTTTATGTTTTGGCCTTGGTGGCGCTCATGGCTGCCAAGTTCGTGTGCGTCGGAAAGGTTATTTGGGGCAATTTTTAGACGAAAGAAACAAGAAGACGGAAGAGATCCGGATAGGCGCACTTTTGAGACGAGGGAAAATTCGAGGTCTTGGCACATAAAAATGGGATTGGATATCAAAAAGGCACTTATGATGAGAATTGTACATATAATGAAGACTAGACCCGGAGTAAATTGTAATGATGTAAGCTTACCTCATGTTTAACTGTGTCTGTCGTTCCCAAACAGGAAGTTCAGTTTGGGAACGTTCTTATGATCGGCTATCGGTGCCGAATCAACATCGAGTCCTGAGTCACTTGTGGTGCTGAGAATGAGATTTGAACCGCGGTTGTAACGACGTGAACGCCGACGGGACGTCGTTGCGAAGCCCCGAAGCAAATACGTTCCCAGAAATCCGCAGCAGATTCCATCCCGGAGGTGCGGGTCGGTGGGGCACGGGCCTCCTTCGGCCCGTGCGGAGGAACCGAACCGGCGCTGGAAACGACGGTTTAAAACCCTCGCTGCGTTTCCCAATCTCTCTTCATTACGGTTAGTTTCTTGTTTTCAGTAATTGTTGAGGTACGAAGCTTCCGGAGATAGAGCATTCGACACATTCTCATACATCATCTTCAAGAATAACTCTATTTGAACTTAGAAAGACACTATATATCACAAGGTGAGTTTACATGTAAGACACGTCATATGAGAGAATGGGTGCCGGAGGACCGAGGTCCGGCGGAGGTAATGGGCCGAGTAATGGAGATGGATTCTCATCCCTCATACCCGTTATTCACCATACTTTTGGACATGAATGGGGTCGAATACAGCTACCGGAGATATCTACTTCTTATACCAAGCCACTGACACCGTTCAGGTCTCACTCACACCTTCGGACGGCCCTTTGTCACCAGTCCATTCTCCCTGCTACCGAGGTCTCACAAATCTCACCACCACACATCACCACTCGACACATTTAAACAGCTACCACTTCTCTGAGACGATCCGTGAACATCGCCGCTTCATCACACACAAACTCCTCCAAAAAAAAAAATGTCTCTCCCCACAGAAACGGCAGAACGCCAAGAAGACGCCTACTTCTCCTCCCAACCGCCCCCCAAAAACCTAGACGCCCACGTCGCCGCCGCCCGCTCCTTCATCGACCACCACGCCGCCTCGAGCCGGCGCGTCGTCCTCGTCACCTCGGGCGGCACCACCGTGCCCCTCGAGAAGCAGACGGTCCGCTTCATCGACAACTTCTCCGCGGGCACCCGCGGCGCCACCTCGGCCGAGTACTTCCTCGAGGCCGGCTACGCCGTCATCTTCTTGCACCGCCAGTTCTCGCTGCAGCCGTACTCGCGCCACTACTCCCACGCCACGGACTGCTTTTTGGACTTCCTGGCTGAGGGCGAGGACGGCACCGTCGTCGCGAACGCGGCGCACCAGGAGCGCATGCGAGAGGTGCTGCGCAAGTATACCGCCGCCAAGAAGGGCAATATGCTGCTCATGCTGCCGTTTACGACGATTACGGATTACTTGTTTGAGCTGCGCGCTATTGCGGGGTTGTTGAGACCCTTGGGCCCGTCGGCGCTGCTCTACCTCGCCGCCGCGGTGTCTGACTTCTTCCTGCCGCAGGACAGAATGGCCGAGCACAAGATCCAGTCCACCAACGCCACGGACTCGTTCTCCGGGGCGGGAGCGGCATCAGCTACAGCGACAACCAAAGCCAAACCCACCAGCACCAACTCCAGCAACGGCAACGGCAACGCCTCCAACACGGAAGACGAAGAAGCCTTTGACAACTTCGACTCCACAAAGGTAGCAAAATCCAAGTCCCTCGTCATCGACCTCGATCCAGTCCCCAAGTTCCTCCAGAACCTCGTCGACGGCTGGGCCCCGCAGGGGATGGTCGTCAGCTTCAAGCTCGAGACGGACCCGGCCATCCTCGTGCACAAGGCCAAGTACTCCCTCGAGCGGTACCAGCACCACCTCGTCATCGGCAACCTGCTGTCCACACGCAAGTGGGAGGTCGTCTTCGTCGCGCCCGGTAGGCCGGACCGGTGGGTCCGCGTGCCGAGCGTTCAGCGTGCGTCGTCGTCGTCGGCGGCGGGGGGAAGTGGGGGAGCGTGGGAGGACAAGCCGCTTGACCCTAGCGCGCTGCCGGAGAGTGAACCCGAGATCGAGATTGAGAGCTTGATTATCCCTGCTGTGCAGGATTTGCATTCGCAGCACATTGAATCGCTGTAGAAGTAGAGAGACCGGGGGTGAAGAGAAATGTGTTGTGTCAGCGAGCGAGAACGGATATTCATGTTTTCTGGCAAAACTTCTTTGGGGCAAGCGTCACGTATATAACGGCATATCGCGCATCAAATGGTAATGAAAAAAGCATATCAAGTACAATTGCTTCCCTCTCTATCTTTCATGCGCTCTCTCTATGAAAGGTACTCCAAACCGTGCGCGCTGCGTGATGCTTTATATGATACATGTACAACAGCCCCTGGATTTTTCTGCGCAGCGCAAGTTCCCTTATTTGGACGGCGCCAAACGCCAAGCTCTCATAGGGAGTGACTGCAGATGCAGGACTCTAGGTCGGATGTAAAGCATGAACGTCACCACGCCAAAGACGACGCAGATGATGTTGACAAAGTAGTATCCGTCACGCACCATCTCACACGTGCCGCCACCGTTAACACACTTCTCCTTGTCTGGCTGCAGGGAGCAAGAGAAGGGGTCGGTGATGACGGGGCCCTTGAGGGCGTTGAGATCCGCGGGGTTGCCGGGTTTGCAGGTCGCGACGGTGAAGTAGTCAACCAGACGCAAGACAAAGAAGCGCGGGAACGTGCCGCCAAGATTGCAGACGCTGCGGAGAATATGTTAGTACAGGAAGTCAGTCAAATTGAAAACCCGAGGGTAAACTTACGTAGCCAAGAGAGTCATGTAGGTGCCGCCGATGACAGGGTCTGCGATTCTAGCGTGGAAAGCAGAGACGGCGACAAACATGACCGTGTTTGTAAAGGTCGAGAAGACGTGTTCGCCAATGACAACCAGCATGTACCAAGGGGTAACGCCGCCGGCCGGGAAAATGGTGACGGTGAACTGGGCAATCAGAGCTGCAACGAGGCGGCCCATGAAGCCCCAGCACCATAGACGCATTGGGGTGTATTCCTGAGACCACTTGCCAGCGTAGTAGCCAAGCGCGATTTCAAAAGGGAAATCGATGAGAACCGTCAGGGCCATGTTCTCCTGGCCGAATCCCTTATCAATGAGCTTCAGGTTGGTGACTGCATCATTGGCCTGGAAGCCAATTTTGGCAATGAGATGAACAATGATAATGGTCTGGATATTCTTCAACTTGAGAACACCCCACATGATCTTGTACACATCCCAAATGCCATCCTCATTCTTGGTTCTCTCCTCACGCTTGAAGAGAGAGAGCCCAATGGTGATGGCAATGTAAGCCCAGCCCCAGAAAGTCAGATAGCCGCCAAGCGACATGAGACCGTGATCCAGAGGAGAGCTGCGGAAGTAGCGGTTTGCAAAGTCCTTGGAGTTGAAGGCCAAAAACACCGTGTAGGACAAGAAATGGCCAGCAGTGAGACCGACGGTCTGCGCAGTGGAGGCATACGACACATTGCCGGGCGTCAGGAGAGTCAAAGCCCAGCCGTCTACAGCGATATCTTGCGTGGCGCACATAAAGACGAGGAAGAACCACCAGCCGGTGAAGTTCCATACGGTAGGACCTCCGGGCTTGCCGGTGTTGGCCATCATGTTCTCGACAGTAGACCCAAGCCAGAGCATACCCAGTCCTGAAAGCAGCTGAATGGGAAGAATCCAGCTCTTTCTGCGTCCAACCTTGGGGCTCCAGACCGCATCAACGATGGGACTCCAGAGAAGCTTCAGCGAGTATGGGTATGAAGCTAGACTAAAGATTCCGATCTCGCTGTACGACATGTGGTCCTTCATTAGGAAGGGAACCGAACCACCCGCGAGACCCATGGGCACGCCCTGTAGGAAGTACAGGAGCACCAGCAGGAGGAAATTCCTCTGGTCCTGCAACGGCAGCTCGAAGAAGCCATGGTTATTGGCGATGGGCGTCTTCGGGACGGGGTCGTCGAGGGTGAATGATTCGCGCGACATGAGGTTCGCGGTTACGGTGTCGGAGCCGGGAGTCGTCGCCTTCCGCCGGAACTCAACGTTGTTCTGGTTCATCGCGCCGTTGGCGTGACCGTTCGTGCCGTCTGTGTCTACAGCTAGATCGGCCAAAGCTTTTCGCTTGACGGACTTGTTTCGGCGTGTTCGGACGCTCATTTGTGCTTGGCTTGTAGTTGAGGGATGTCTCGGTTGGAGCTTGCGGCGCAGTGCTGGTCTGCAGTAGAGTTCGAGGTCTCGGTTGAGAGCGGTTGTGTCGAGACGTAAGAGGTGGTTTGGGAGAAAGAAAAAAAGACTTTATGCGACAAGTCGGGAGTCGTGAGCAAAGGAAAAGGTTCTTTGTCTGTCCAGCGAAGACCACCTAGACAGGGTCGAGGGCGGGGTGGAGCAGAGTCCGTGGCAGTCAAGGCGACGCTGTCTTAAACAACAGCTTAGACCAATGACAGACGGTATGGCGCTAGGCACCCAAGCGATCGAGAGCTTGTTTTTGTGTGCGCGAGTATGGTTGGTAGAAGAAAGGGTGGAAAATGGCGATGTTCGGGGAACAGTGGAAGCGCAACCGTGGCCTTTGACACTTTTTAGAACACGCCAGTGGCAAAGAAGGAATGGAATAGTGGTCGAGTTGGACGTTGCGGGGTCTTGGAAAATGGTGGAAATGATAGATAAGAATGAGATATGATAGTAAAAAAGAACTCAAGTCCCAAGTGGACCGAGACGTAGTGAATTTGGCAGAAGCAAATCAACACAGCAAGAAAAGGTGTTTCTGTTGCGACGATACCTCGGGGTGAAGCAGACGGGAATTGGGGAGAAGATTCAAAGAAGCTTATCCAGGTCCAGACGCGCTCCACTCGAGTGGGAAGCCACCCGCCGCCCGGCGAGCTCCCTTGGGACCCCTGGCGCCATGCCTCATTTGGCGCCAAACTGCGTAAGTACCCAAGGCAATCGCTGATAAGATAACAGCTTAGATAAGCTTCCCCGCGGGTCGCATTCCGCGCTGTCGGGACGTTTTGTTGACTGGGTTCAAGTGTCTCGCACTGCGCCTGCTTGGCAGCCAATTCAATTGTCAACTTCACCGAGACGCGTCGATCGCGTCCAGGATCCCAATCACGTCATCCCCAACTACGACTACGACAAGTGTGCTCTCTCCGCCGAGGAAATTGCGAATTCCTTCTGTTCACGCCCGCAACAGACAAAATGTCTGGTGAACTTCCAGATGTTGCTGCAGAGGCTCTCGAACAAGAGATCAATGACCTTCGAGCAAAAGGTAAGTGATTCTCCAAGGAGATCCTTGCCCAGATGCTGACTTGCGATGCGCCCAGCCGCCTCGTTGAAGAAGGTATTGAAGGTCCAGGCCACAGCCCTCATCTCGTCCGATTCGATACGAAACGCCCTCAAGGAAGACAACGAGAAACGCAGCGCGATTGCACTCCCCTCGGAATCCAAGGCCGTCCGCGACCAAGTCCTCTCCCGATCCAAAGCCCAAGACGCGCACGACCAGCAATGTCTGTACAGAACTTGCGCAACCATAACGACGTTCAAGGTCAAAGACCCCGACCCAAATGCCGTTGATCGAGGCAGCGTTCTCGGCATTCGCATCGAAATCATGTCCGGCGCCAAGTTCCGACGACCATACTACGTCATGCTCAATCGACCGTACAGAGACTCGCGACACCTGCGTGTTCATCGCCATACGGTGCCTCCATGCATCCCGCTCGCCGCGCTCGCCGCTCGCCACCTCCCTGCACCCAAGCCTGCCGACGCCGAAGATCAGAAGGTCCAAGATTTATCTCGCTTCGTGCGAACGCTGAGAAGGGAAATTGTGAGATACCACAACCGAACTGCTGTGATTGGCGATCTGCAGAAGGCGGCTGGGCTGGTGGGCGCCGGCAGCGAGGGTGACGACTCCGACCAGGCGGTCACAAGCATCGTTGCGGCAGACATTGAAGCCAAGCAGATCAGCATCGAATGGGCTGATGGCAGGGCGGGCAGATTGGTCATGAGCGAAGACGGGCAGATTCAAAAGCTCGTCATTCTTGGCATGGCGGGACGGGATCGAGAGACCACGCGAGAACTTCTAGGTGACAGTCGTCGCGTAGAAGACGTCGCAAAGCGGTTAGCAACATCTTGAGGACTGTGCCAGATACGACAAAGATGCTTCAACGAAAAGGGATACATGAACCAAAGACCTGTCGTCTCGTGACAGTAGGAATCAATCCCTCAGCAAAATCGGAGTAACTATTTTTACGGCCCTCAACGAAGATCCTACGGGATAGGCCTCAGCTGAAGGCAACCAGATCAGCAAGCCCGTCCGAGTGAGACGAGCATGTGCTAGGCAGAAAGTCGTCCACACCGGAAAATCGCATCTGTCCGCCCGACTCATGCGCGACCCTCCGAGCCATCCGCAACCTGGCCTGAACGCGAACATAAGCATATTGCGTTCAATCTGCAAGGTCATGCAGCCACAAACTCGATCCGGAACTCAATCGACATGCGAGTAAAGGATGGAGGCATCAAAGTGGATCATGTCAAAAACAGATCGACTCAAGGTACCCCGCGACCTGGAGATCTGCCGTCGATTCGTAGCACCCGACCAGAGCCATGGGGCGAGAAGACGACACCCGGGGCAACACGACTGTGGATGAGCACAAGGCTATTGGGTGTGCGAATGATACCGTCCTGTGGCCTTGCCGACTGAGACATTGAGCTTGGTTGCGAGGATTCGACTTCGGAATCTATCATTGGTTGCACATTGCACGAGTAAAAGATGATGGAAGAAGTATTGTAATCAGAAGTACGCAACCCATTATATTAGCCTTAACTAATTAAGTTGGGTTTCTCAGACGCCAGAGCCGATATCCTCCTTCGCCAAAAGTTGCAAAGCCCGAGGAGCCAACCCAATCGTGTCCGAGTGAAAACCCCCCAAATTCCCGTTCGTTGATTTTCCCAGTCATTAACCCTTATTTTGTCCCATTGTACCCCCAAGTTCCCATGGTATATCACCCTCTATGCCTGAATCACAAAACAACGCGTTGTCTTTCTCTCTAGTAACATGATGAAAAGCAAAAAGACAAAAAAGCACTAAAGATTCCACTCAGATAAAGGCAGCGGCGGCAGCCACCACGGCGACGACCATACCACCGGCGCGCTGAACGTTCTGCACAGCACCGGCGGTGACGACGGCGCGGCTCGTGGTCGCGGTCGGGTTGGGTCTGGTGACGGTGCCGACGGAATCGGGCTTGGTCGTCGTGGCGGCGGGGGGAGCAGAGGAGACGGGAGGGACGGGGACCACAGGGGGGTTCGATGACACGGGCGGGATGACGACGGAGGAGAGGGTCTGGGGAGGGGAAGGGTTGCTGGGCGCGGGCTGCTCTGCCGGCGCGGTGGTAGCGGGAGGAGCCACGGGGGCGGTGGTCGGGCCCGGGTTGGGCGCGACGGGGACGGGGCAGATTGTGACGATGGCGGGGACGGTGACGGTCTCGTACATTGTGCCGCCGCCGTTGCCGGGGCAGTTGGGGACGCTGGGCGGGCAGCTGTAGATTGTGGAGACGGCGGTCTGGGTGATTGTGGAGGTGGTCCACTTCCAGGACTGCGGCGTGGTGGTGGGCTCGGGCTGCTCCGGCTGGTCGGGCTGGTCGGGTGTCTCTGTGGGTTCGGGGGCCGAGGGGGGCTCGGTGGTCTCCGGGGAGCACTTGTCGCAGCCGGGCTCCTTTGTGTGCTTTGGCTTCTTCCACTTGTGGCCGTCCTTGTCCTTGCCGGGCTTGTCGCCCCATTTGGGCTTGCCCGGGTGGACCCAGTGCCAGCCGTGCTCCTTGTCGCTGTCGCAGTCGTCAATGTAGACGTCTGGGTGGGGAGGGTGCCAGACGGAGATGCAGTCTGAGGGTGGGCCGGTGAGGGGGCCGAAAGTCTTGATGTTGAAGTCTGCGTTGCCGTTGGCGAGGCCGAGGGGCTCGATGCCTGGTGGGTAGCTGAATTGGCCGTCCCATGTTGCGCGGGCGACGGCTGCGAGGCCGAGGACTGTGAGGGTTGAGTAGCGCATCGTGGTGTGTGTGTGTGTGTGTGTGTGTGTGTGTGTGTGTAAGTGAGGTAGGTTGTGGTTTGCTCTGTGTAGGAGAAAGAATGAATGTTTACTATAAAGTAAATAGGAAATGTGTAGAGTGAGAGAGAGCAAACGAGACCGAGGTCGATATTGAAGGTATTAGCGAAAGTAATTGGTATCAGAGATACTGAAGAGAGAGAGAGAAGAAGAGGGGAGTCGGGAAACAAGGTGAAGAGCTGCTCCTTTTCTATCTTTCTTCCCTTCCCCATCACGGAACTCTCAGACAGGGGGTTTAAGTGACGATGGCGGAGACATCGGGAGGAGGAGTGGCCAGGGGCAAAGCCGCTAAGCCCAACATCGCGAATAGACTCACGGGTGTACCTTGGGTAGGTCACTAAATGGAGCTACGCTAATTTGATTAAACGTCATGTCATTATTCCGCCGTACATAGTAGTATCCATACGTAGTGTACATGGAAAGAAAGGCCTGCCCTCCTTTGGATGCTGCCCCATCTAAAGGGGCTGAAAAAGAAGCATCGCCCCGCAGGCCTCCATTGCATGTCGAAGATCTCCGTGATTGGTTAGCCCATCTCTTTGACGAAGATCGGGGGCCTAGTCTGGGAGGGGAGGAAAACGATCACAAGGACGGGGATCACCAAGCTTCGGATGGACGTTTGCTAAAATTACGTCGCGATCAGAAATTGGGACGACAGGTACGGATACGGGGAGATGTGCTTGGTAGGGCCTTGTTTTTCTTTCCTACTACGTAAACCTTCTTCTCCTAATTCGGAAAAAGAACAGAGAGAACAGAGTGGTTGAAGGAGCACAGCAGGCCAGAGATGGAGATGGAGATGGGCGCAGCTTTGGCTCTGCATGACCCTCTGATACAGGGACGGAGCATGCTTCGGCAGATGGGATCACCCAGGATCCCTGTGTAAAGCAGCCTCTTTCACGAATCACCAAGATCTACGGAGTACCTGCCAGCAAACCCGGGGGAAGAAGGTCAAGGAAGGGGGGAAAAGACGATGTCACCTCGTCCGACAACCAGGGGTAATGCCACTCTGCTATGCCACCATTTTACGCTAATCGTAACTATCCCTGCAGAAATCGTCTCGAATGGTGTTGAGCTTAAAGAGACCTTTGGGCTCGAGGAGAGTCGAGATGGGCTGACCCCTCCAATTGTGAGGCAGCACAGCCCGTCATCCGAACTTTCGAAACACCATCACCCTTGGTTATCCCATGAATTTGGCCAATTTCCAAGGGGGGTCAAAGCATCAAAGGCACTTTGAATGGTAGTGCAGGTGTGGCAGCCACTATCTCTTCTTCGCGAACTCCGAAAAGTTGTGGGATTTACTGCGTAGTGCTCGTTCTTATGGTGCGGGTATTGTGGGATGATGTCAGTGAGGGTTGCTGGTGGCCTCCCCCTCCGCCCCTTCGCGCTGAGGTATCCAGACCTAACCCACCTGCCTACCTATTGGTGGAAGTGGAATCGATGCTGGCTTCGGCGCTTAAGACGGATCTTCTAATGGTCTCTCAGCCTCAAGGCTGTGGAGTGGTGAATTTGGTGTATGGCCCATCTTCAGTGATGCGGGAATCTTTCATGCAGGTTTCTCTCCTTTATGCAGAGAGTAAGGTAGGTAGTATTGAGACTCAATCCAGCTTCTTGACTATGTGAGATCATGTCCAACAAGAATTCACCCTCGTAGCATCCATGGTCATTTGCCTTTGAAGAAATCTTACAGCCCGCAACGTCCTCCCTTGTCGGTGTCGAGTTTGACAGGTGGTCATGACCACATTTTCGTCTAAACAATGTTGCTTGGCTGCCTCCTCCCCCTTCCCGTCTGCGTCCTATCAAAAATAGGAAACCACCAACAGAGTCATGAGCTCATGAGCGATCGGCTAAGAGGGATGGTTCGCCTCGTCATGAACTGTAAACAAGCCACAGGAGGGCTTGGGCTTGCGGGTTGTCGTTGTCAAAAATTTGCGGCTCATGTCCGGCTCCGGCTGATGTGCCATATACTCGCCACAACGTCGGCAGCACAAGGAGGGGAAGGTCTTGCGAAAATGGGGTTCTTGGTCAAAGTCCGAATTTAACTCTACCCTAGCGAGTAGTAGAGGTCGGGGAATTCCCGTTCCCTTCGTCGCCGTCCGCGGGAGACCCAAATAGCCGAAGTAATATCAAGTCTGTGATATTAATGCAATTTGATCGGATCAGCTGTGTGTTCAGTTTAGTCAAGTCGTCTCCACCTGGGCATAGCCATTGGCGTTATAGCAACTTACTGGAAACCGATGATGGCTCTTGCGCATTCGTGGTATAGGACCCGGGCAGTTCTGTAAGTGAGATCTTTTTCTCTCCCTTCTTCTCTCTCGATGAGAGCGTCAGCTCGGCCCGAAGACTCCTTCGCATTAAGATCTGGTGAAAATTCGGTTGCCGCGAGTAGCGTACGGCAATGCGATGATGGCGCTTCCTTGTGCATGGCACAACGGAGCGGCAACTGCTGGCAAAAGCAAACCTCACCAGTCGAGGGGTTTCTTGGTCTGCGGCACCGCGGAGCTGGGTGCCCGCTCCGGGCTCTGCTGCCTCTCGTGCTCCTGCGCGTCGCCAATGGCCTCGAGCACGATGCCCCATTGCTCAACCTCGGCGTCGGCCACCTTTTGCCATTTGCGAATGAGGGGGTGGGCACGAGCCACGTCCGCGAAGAGAATTTCATCACCACCGTTGGTGCCCTCAACGTCAAACTTCCAGGTCCCGTCGGTGTTCCAGTACGCCGGTCCAAAGATGGAGTCAATCTTGAGCTCCGCCTTGGCCTCGTCCAGCGTCTGGCGGGCCTTCTTAGAAGAATCCTCATCGTGGCTGTCTAGTGCAGCGGCGATGCCCTCAAAAAGGCCGACAATCTGGCCCGCGAGTGAGCCGACCTCGGCGCCGAGGCTGAAGCCCTCGTCGAAACCCGCCTGGATGCTGTGGGCTTTGGCGGCGGATATACCCTCGCGGTAGCCGGCGTTGGTGTGCTCGGCCTGCAGGCGCGGCATGTCGCCCGGATGCGTTCCCACGGGTGCTGCGCTCGCCGCGTCTTGGGCAAAGTGATTGATGTAGCCGGCAGTGTTCGGCGAGCCGGGCTCAGAGCCCCAAACGTCGTCAAAGGTCTCTTGGGACTGCAGCTCTGGCAGGATGGTGATGCGTGGGTCGTCCATGGCGCTGGTGAATGGCTCGATTTCAGTATTGTCGATGGGCTGGAGATGCATGATGAGAGACTTCTCAGAGAGTGTGCCGTTCGGACTCTTTGGCGTTTATGGCGAGGTGACGGAGATCTTCTTTTGAGGCGACGCTGAGTTTGGATGACAAAGTATGAAAATTTGGAGTTGATTTACAACCAGATCCCCCGCACGTCGCAACTTCTCGCACTGTTTCTGACTCACCTCTGACGTGGGCTTTATCACAGTAAGATCCGAGGTTCGTACGGTACACCCACCGCCACTACAGTTCATCGAGTAGCAAAGTGAGGTGGTCCACAATATCTTCACTTCACATCGTGTCCGCCTCAGATACTTGGTGTCCAGATTTCACTGATCACCGTGACTTGGCTGGATCTGACAGCTATGCCGAGATATGCTAAGTTGACGGAGCGAAACGCACACCTACTTCCCTCTCCTCCACTAGACTCGCTGGACCCGTGGTTGGATTAGCCGATATCTCAACTGTTCCTTGACCTATTTCAAGAACGTCTTCTTCTCGAACTTGGCGACAGCCAGATTTAGCGACAATAATAACATGAGAGAAACTCTACTAAAGAACGAGAAACATTCGCTTACTCCCCGCTTCGTCGCTCTCTCGCAGAACTGCGTCGCCGAGATAAGCACCCCATGGGATATCTTACACCTTAAAATGCCAAGGTCGTCTACCCCAGATTAGCTCACAGGGATCTGAGATCCATCTATTTCTAGACCAACAGCATTGTCATGGGTTACCAGAAATAGAGAACCAGGATGGTGGCCTTCCCCGGATCGACGTAATTTACAATCAAGATGAAATCATCATCAAGTAAGTATATTTGGATATATCTTTCGTTTTGCTCTTAAATAGATCTAATCTAGCACGTGGTATTCTCTTTTTCTGCCCAAAACTTCCTTTATGCCGTATCCAAAACGACAACCTCGGCCTCGGCCTCGCCGATACTTTCAACCTTCAACTTATCCCCAGCGTTGACCGCGTCGACAAACGCGCCGTCACCCTCAGACAAGACAGCATCCTCGCGGCCATCGATCCTAATCTTAGCCTTGCCGCTCTTCGTCATGGGCAGGTGCACAAACACCTTGCGCTTCGTCTGCTCCGTCGCCTTGCCGCCGACAACCCACTCAAAGGCACCGTCCGTCCCGGGCGCAATGATACCCGCGCCCATGACGAAATCGGCGTGGATAGGGATCGTATCCGGGATCCTCGGCTCCGCAGCCTTCTCCTCCGCCGCCGAGGCGTCGGGGCCGGCCTTGAGAGGCGACAAGATCGTCACAAAACCCTTGCGCTTATCCTCGTCGGCGAAATGGCGTGTGTGGTAGGTAGGCGGGAGACCCCTCTTCCAAGGGACGGCCCAGATCTGCAAGAAATGCACCGTGTCCTTGTGGTGCTCGTTGAACTCGGAGTGCGCGATGCCGGTGCCGCCCGTGGTGAACTGGACGTCGCCGCGGTGCATGCGGTAAAACTTGTCGCTCTGCCCGCCCTCGGCGCCCTTTGTCAGCATCGAGTCGCGGTGCGTGAGCTCGCCCGAGAGGATGTAGCTGAAGATTTCAAAGTCGCGGTGCGGGTGCGTGGGGAAGCCCGAGTTGGCCTTCACGCGGTCCTCGTTGAGGACGCGCAGGCTGCCGAAGTTGTTGAAGCGCGGGTCGTACCAGTTTGCGAAGGAGAAGCTGTGGTAGGTGTTGAGCCAGCCGTGGTCCGAGTGGCCGCGGGTGCCGCTGCGGTGCGGCGTGATCTTTGCGTGGTGGAGGGTCTTTGACATGTTGTTCTTTACTGCGTTGAGCATAGAAGAGTCGGGTGAGTTGTCTTGAGCGGGTGAAGACAGCGCTGTGCTACTCTTTGTTGTGTTGTTTGTGGTGAGTTGAGAAGTGATGTCTGTGAAGAAGCTCTTGAGCTGGGTGTTGAAGATGATGATGGAAATGAAGACAGCGAAAATCGCAGTGAGGGTCACGATGCGAGGCATATATACTTGAATGCTCGAGCAGTCTCTCACGAAAAGAATAGATGGACAGCGCTAGTATGGTCGAGAATCAAACATCGATCTGTTTTGAGGAGTGTTGTTCAGCATTTGCAAATCTCGCGGGCAAGCTTATATGTGGTGCCCATGGCGACTATCTACATCTGGACGAACTGCTGCGAGGGTCTTACACATGCCCCCGGTGAAGCTGTCTAAGCCGTTACCTAAGGGGGGCGCCACCGCGTGCGATGACTGGACGACTTTTTTCGCAAATGCGGTGCTTAGGATTGGATTATTCATGCTGACAGCTTCGAGAAGAACGTGGGCCCCGCTCGTTCGGCCCCGCAGCTGCAGACGGGAATGGGTCGCCAGTACCTAACAGGGGTATGTGTGACGCAAGAGTCCACGGGCTAGCCCCAGAATCGGGGGATCATCGGCTGTCGACCGGAAGCCAACTTCAACCTCCCTTCTCGGGACCACACTCCAGGTCACTTCACATCGTCAACTCATAGATCCCCATAAAGCGAAGGCTTACAAGTGAAGCGCTGCCATTGTGTTACAATACGGATGAGCTCTGGGGGCTGCTGTCGGGTGCTCAGGTTATCTCTCATTTGATATTTTTAAGACTAAATTCATCTTGAAAGCCAGGTACAGTGTTGTGGCTAGGCTTGCGAACTCACAGCCTGTCAAATACACCATCGTTCATACTGGCTATTGTTTCAACTTATGTGATCGAGGCCTATTATCTTGACTGTGCAATCTGGCTACCAAATTTGGCCGTGTACTACTACCAACTAGGCCTTCCGGTACCTACGTACCCAAGGTAGGTTGCCGATGGTTCTCTCCATTGCCAGCAAAAGTTTACTATGGGCACAGATATCGCACCGTACGACCTCAAGACGGCATTCGTATTGAGGGATCAAAAAGTGTCGGCCAGTCTCGATGTACGTCCTTCGCCCTGACCGGTAGCGTCCAAGTGCTTTGACGGCATGTGGAGTGAAAGTGATGGCGGCAGTGGTGGTTTTAGGCCTGGCTAGCAGTAGCACAGTCAACACAGATAGACAGCAAATTCCACTTAATCAAAATCACTTGATCGATCGGATTGCTCGTGGAAGCGATGTCCCAAGTGCCCACATCCTCGACGTTTAACCAAGCGACGATTATGTGAATCATCAAACCCTGCCAAAAAGCAAAAGCTCAGGTGCGCAGTCAGTAAATCGAACTGTGCACCTACGAAATCCTCCATCTTTTGACTTCTCGAGATTTCATACCAAGTTCTGTACTAGCGGACCAGGGCGTTATACCGCTCGACCACGGGGATCGATTGGGCTTGGTTGACGAATTGGGCCGTGGACCTGAATACATACCGCAGACCGATCCTGTCATGGTCGATGCAAGTTATGATTCATTCATATTCACCACTCACCGCACACTCAATACACGGGTGGTTCGTGAATCCATGGTGTTTGGAACTATCTGTATACCTGAAAAGGGGACATCTCGATATCGTAGCATCATCGGCAGTGTGAAGTTGCATCAAGGGAACAGGGCAACCTGTGGGCGATATTGATACCATCGTAGTACAAGATAGCTAGCCTTAGTTAAACTAATTCCTCAATTGACTTGATTGCCTGAGCGAGCCGATGTATTAGGGAAAACATAGAGCAAAGAAATCATGATAGCTGGCGGTCATTCGAGTCAGGCGGCGGAAAGTCTTCACAGCAATGCAGAATTTCAGCCTAATTCTGAGGTCAAGTACTCGCAGCAAAAGCGACGTGTTGGCCACAAAGGTCGTTGCTGTGGGGATGAACATCAACAATCACCAACGTGACGCCTCAGGAAGGAGCGCAGCCACGTACCTTCCGCCCTCCACCTTCCATCCCATAAACCACCTCACAACCCGGACGTCCTCTTCCCATCCCCCTTCTCAAGCCACCTCAATCAAAGCCAGACGGGAAACGAGCGACCCTACTTGGAGAACAATTTTGTTCATACCGTCACCAGCAATCAGAAGGCGTCCCATCCGGCGCGATGTGGTCAGGACAAACTGTGTCTGGGGTCGCCATGGTCGCAAACGAGTAACCGCCCAAGTTCGAATCCCGCAAGCGCATACGTATACGTACACGATCGGCAACCTACCCACCTGGACCTCTATTGGATATCGGCGGATTTTCCCAGCATGAGCACCAAGAGATGTAGCCCCCGTTCGATACCGGGGGGGTGAACTCTTTTGTCATTTGGGTCGGAATTTCATTTTTGTATTCTTTTATCTTGGTTGTAAAGAGATGAGTGTTTCGTGGCTTCTTGGAATCTGATGTTCCCTACCTACCCTACCCAGCTTTCTCAACACGTCGATGTCTACCCTTCACATGATGAGATCTACCTACCTGCCTATGATTAATGCCTCATGGAATGGTGAGAGGCTGCTTTCGCACCCGTCCAGTGACGATCATCTACAGAGAAAATAGGAGGGCATTTAGGTGTAGTGTTTAGTCACAGATTTCTCCGAGCCAGAAGACGATTTGTACGTATACGATGTTTCTCTGCAGGAAAGCAGCACACTTGTTGTCTTCCAAATTGCTTACCCTGTCCATGGTTCATGTATTTCCAAGCCAGTGGAGCTGAGATCTACTACTCAAGGTTATTCAGACACCCGAGAAACACATCCACCAGCCATCTTCCTTCCCTCCATCCATGTCCCCGACATTCCCACTCTACCGAGGCATTGTGTACAGAGGGAGTCATTGGTGTTATTGGCGACGAGCCTAGTGGAGAAGAGGCTGGTGATGCCCGGACGACAGGAGACGCACGGCAAGCCAACGAGATGCAAGTGGCAGTTGTGTAAGTTACGTCGACTAGCTTAGCTTTGTCCAATACCAATCTTGATTCATCTTTGACTCAAAGATAGCCAATAGCTCAGTCTTTGAAACTCTGCAGTCTCAGCTGACGATCATCGCGCTAGAGGGATGTTGTGATGCTCCTTGATCTCGTCGAGGCGAGGAACAGTCACTGTAACTTTGAAAACAAGATCGAGGTGTATCCAGCTTTGGAGAGATTCAATCTAACATGACCGCATTACATGAAGACGGAAAGGCTGGAAAACAAAAGTCGTATCACCCAAGTAACAACATCGACATGAACAAGACTACATTATCTACGGTCGACCTGCAGTAGGGTAGGCCTTCTAGGTTGACGGATTATTTCGTGCACGCCGTGATTCATAGTCGTCATATGAGGAAAGGAAGAGCCGCTTTGACTTGGAACTACTTGCGACCCAGAAGATTGAAAGTCAGGAATTGAGATCATGTCGTACCGCTTGTCGTGGCCCAGCTGTGGTTATCCGAGGTACGGGATCCCCCAGTGAACGGTCGTGACCACCGCAACGGCGATACTCCGCTCTACACCTACACCTACACACACAGCCTTCCTATGATGACCATTCATACAGGATGGTTCAATGAAATGCTTGATTTGATGAGGAGCGGACGGGGATGTAGTCTTTCACGAGCCTTTGAGGATTAGGCCGACACTTCCTGCTTCCTGAATCTCACGTCTGTAATTCATTCATAGGACGCGCTATTCCCCTGATCTCCGCCTACATATATAGCCTCATAGCTCTTCTGATTAAACATCATAAGGCTTCATTACATTCTACTAGCCTCCTCTCTCACTTGTGGTTCTAATACTGATATTCGGCGGGTAGAAGGTAGCAGGATCGTTGGTCGGAAGTGTGTCTCTAGTCCTGGAGAAACATACAGTCTGTTAGTTATGTAGTAATCCCCAGTACAAGGGCTGAGAAACACCATGACTTATATCACTGGTCAGATGCCAGAAGTCTATTTGGTGCACCGGACTTGGTGGCATCATCGACCCAAAGAAGGAGGTCTTATTCTGTTTACGTGAGGCTCACTGGAATTTTGATGGATACCTCTCGCTTGCCTCGTGCCCATGCGTACGGATCCATCGTTAAAAAGCTCGCTTTGCGAATGATGTGAATTGGATTCGTTGAGCATACGTTGTCATTGGAAGCGAGACTTGATTCTAAAGTTCCCACGAGTAGCTGAACAAGTGTCTCTGATCTACCCGGGCAGGCATCTTTATGTTTCATCAAGGCAGCTTCAGTACTTCAAATACTCTGGGTTGGTATGAAATAGACAAAAAATCAGACAGATCTCTCAAGTTTCAACATTGTCTTCCTAGCAGCAAAGCCCAACGTCAGTTCATGCATCGAAGGCGGTCACCAACAAAGATATCAGCCTGATCTGACCTGTTTCGGTGACATAGCCAAGGCCGTATAGGCACGTACAAGTTAACTTCGCGTGTCGCTGATTCCATCAGAGCCTCGAGTCCTCCTCAGAAAGGCGCTCCGGCTCTTGCCGACGGGAGAAAGACATGTAAGATCACAGATGCATGACATGTGATCATACCTAGGGCTAGGAAATCATTATGCGCTTCTCGGCAGTAGAAAACTTCTCAGCGAACGGACGGAGGCCTCACAGAACCTGATGCGACGGTTGGCAATACCTCGCAGGGAATAGAAACTCGTTGCTCTGCTCGGGGTAACATGCTGCTGGTTCGGCAGGTCAACACCGTTAGATGTAAAGAATGCATGGCATCAGAGCATACATACATCGAACTGCGGCTCGGGACTTATTTGCAACCCCAAACTTGGACAGTCATTCATCCACATTTGGCAGAACACATTGGGCAAAAGTGTTTCTTCCTACAAACATACTACAGAGAGGTATCAAACAAAGCCATAGCGATGACGCTGGAGACCAGGCCCTAGGGATACAAGCACACGAGTCGATGCGAATGTAAGACAGGAATCAACCCGGTACAAGGCTCGCGGCAGACCGAACGGAAAGGATGACATGCTCGACAATTACTTCTCTCATAATTCATCCAAGCCTTTAATTACGAAGATTGAAAATCTGAGATCGGCCAAAACATCCAACTGAGTAGGTCACAAGTACTGGAAACATGTCTAGCATACCACCACAATAGCTCATTTAGCAAAGTGTGAGAGACCTAACCGCATGTTCCTTGAGTTCTAACCCTATGACTATCAGAAGCTGAGGAACTTGAGAAAACGTGCAAGCTTGTCAGGGCGTGTAAGTCTATCAAATAGCATGGTGAGGATCAATAGTCGTAGTCAAGACCATAAGCCGATGGCTAACAAGTCAGCATAGCTACTAGAGAAATCCAAAGATCTCAGTATAACGTTCACTCAAGTCATCCATCCTCATCGCCTAATTCCACCAACGCGGCCGCCATCTCACCCTAAGTGTCTTCTTCACATCGTCAAGGACACACCAAGTCAACGAGCTCCGTAAGCTCCCAACTTCCGTCTCCGTTCCCATTACCGTTTCCTAATGGCCAAGTCATGAACCAAGTAGAAGCCCCGGTCCAGACCCAGTCCCGCTACCCGGCCCGTCTAGCCTAAGCGTATCCATAGACACACCAACAGAGAGATGCAGGGTCAAAGAAGAGGAATCAACCACTCTTACCCCCCCAACTGACAAGACTGGCAGTGACGGTGACAACGACAGTGGTACCACAGACCCGAGCCAGATAGAAACCTAATCCCGACCACCCGGTGAACCGAACCAAGACTACGGAGTACGGAGTATAGCCAGCAGCCATCTCCAAAGACAAGCTCAAAGGACTCCATAAGAAAGACCACCCTGCCATTGAGGGGTAAAATGAGGGGAGGGGGGCAAGAGGTAAGGCAGATCGTCCTGGCACTCTGGGAGTCCCGAAGAAGGGGGGACCCCTTCCCTCCATTCCATCCTCGTAGGGCCCGGGGAAGCTGTCACTGTCACCTCGCTTCACCGCCGTCAAAGAAAATAACCGCACCATAGCGTCAGATCATCAAATCATCAGATTATAATGAGGATGTAGATCACAAGTACAGTGACAAGACCGTCTCCAAGGTGAGGGAGAATAGAGAGAGAGAGAGGGAAAAAGGCGAAGGGGCAGAAAAATGACCAACATTGTTGGTTTGGCATTTACCGAAACCGAGAACGGGCACGGCCGCGCCGCACTCGTTATTCCAGCCAGCCGTTTGTATCATACCACCAACCGCACCTCGGTCAGACTGAAAAGGCTCTTCAGCTCAAGACAAGCTAGAGCGTGCCCAAGAGTCTGTTCGGAAGCCTCGCAATAGCATCCGGGTCTAATCCACAAAAGGGGTTCAACGCCGTAAAGACCAAAAAGCGAGTGATACAGCACCCAACCTAGTCCTCACCGTCTCACTCCGAGAAACTCAGGGTCTTATCCGGCATATGGGGTCGAGTGGTGTGTGAGAGCAGACACAAGATGGTCCAGACGTATGGTAAGCCCGTAAGGGTTGTGTGGGGGAACGAGGGGGCGGTGTAATCCAGTGCTCACTCACCTTGCCCATCACCACAAGAAAAAGCTCACCATGTAAAACAGTCGCCATCCCGCGCCGGGTTACCAGTTCCACGCCCTCGGTTTTCATGGCGAGTTCCAGGCCCAAAAGAGTAATGACCCGGCATAGCGGCACCTCTTACGCAGGCGACGGGAAAGAAGATGGGGATTACCCAAGAATTGCCCCGTGCTTTGTGGGTTCTTGACTTCATGGTCCTCCGAGAAGGGGATCCCGTTGATCCAACGGGCGTAGCCGCCGGAGCGGGATTCCAAAGGAAGAAGAGGAACCGGTCAATCATCCCAACTTTCCCCCTTCTTTCGTTATCAAGCTTTGCTTTGCCAGACCCCGAGTGCCAAGTTTGACAAAGACCGCAAGGTACGACGAACTCGATCACGTCAGAAGACCGTAGCTCCAACGGGCTTTGCAGGGAGTCCCCGTGTGTTACAGTTGAGGGGAAAAGTCCGTAGTAATCGTCCACATCGGCGACGGTGAGATGACAAATCCGTGTTTTGCACCGATTGCACCGGCGCCGATTAGTCGTCCATCGCTCGGACGAATGGTGTAGTCCACGTTATGCTTACCACGCAAGATTGAACTACCACTCGGCGGCTTTTCCTTGAGATTCGGAATAACTTCACAGACTCCACGCCGCGCGTGAGACCTCCGCCAAACTTCCGCCCAGCGCCAATGTCACCAACCCAAGCAACAAATCCACCGCCATGGACCTTCCCGCGCGTCCTCCTACCGTCTTTGCCTTGGTACGGTGCTACCTTGATGAATAGGGTGCTCTTTTGGCTTTCGGATATACGCCCGAAACCGAAGCTCCGCGCCCAATCGCGGAGGAAAAGCGGAGTAGAATCCAAACCCTACTGTCCGGACCCCGGACCCCGGCCAAGCCCGCGGGCCGGGGATAGGACAAGATGAAGGCCGTGAAACCATGTAAGCGGCCAAAGATCCCTTCCCTGCCGTGGTCCATGTGAATAAACCACATCCAAACGCAAATGAACGCTTGTCAAAAAGCCTCGCGCTTGGCACCAGCATATATCCCTGTGAACGACGTCGCATCCCCAATCGCTGCCGCTTAACCTTATTTCTTCCACCCCGTCACCCCTTTTTTTGACGCGCGCCGTACCATGGAGACGGAGACGGCGGTGCGCCGACTATTTTATTGTGACCGGGGTGGCCAATTTTTCGCACTTCTGTTTTGCCGTGCCAAGAAAGGATGAACCGCGACTCGCGCGCGCCCAATCCCAAATATCGTGAATAGACTTTTCTAAACGTACTGAACTCCTTTTCGAGTCCCAGTCACCGCTCCCGCCCGCCCGCCCACTTTCCTTTACGGAGGCAGGTCCGATTCTCGATCTTCAATGCGAGATAGGCAGACTGTAGGCGTAGCCCCCAACTTCGTCTGAATTTTAACTTTCCTCTCTTGAAAGGTGAGATTGTCGACATGTTGAAAGGCCTGTATTCGAGTCAATAAGCTTTCTCAGAGTTTGGTATAGGGTGAACCAGTACGGAGTAATTAGCCCACTTCCCTCCAGATCAAGCGATGTTCCCCGTTGGTAGAGGATCATGTTTGACTCCAGGAAGTCGTTGCTCACTCCAAGTCATTGTGGCTAGGCCATGGCCTCCCCACCGTGATCAATCTCCAACCTGGTGACACGCACGACACACGCTGCGGGCGTTGACGAGCGCCATTTATCAAACTTGTGTTCAGAAGGCATATCTGCTGCTGACGTGGGATTGAACGAGCCCCAATCTCTGTTTGGCTTACTCCTCTGGTCATGATGGAGAGTTTTGTCGCCCGTGACTGGACGGCAGCACGGATACCATAGGTCGAGTAATCGCGTCTTCCGTTCGGCGGGCAATCTCTGTACACCTGTCATCGAAACCTGGGCAGAAGATCTGCATTGCCCTCATTTTACTGCCTGCTGCTGGTAAGCTGACAGGCTTCGCGATTCAATGGGCGCACCTCCACCCTGTCCATCAACAGCGAACGTTATTTTTGGGCAAATTGCAACTCTACAAAGGTGATTAAGGTGCTGATGACGAGAAGTAATCGTTGCTTAGCGTGACCCAAACGACTGGCATTGAGTTTGCCAACGCGACGTCGGGCCTTTTGGAGTCTCTGTAACCACGGCCTTGCAAGTGTGCGATGACTATGCCTATCAGCACGCCACGGGTCTGCCAATGACTGATCACTGAGGGCAGTGATACATCGCGATGCCGATCTTCCAGTACCCGGCGTAGGACTGTTCGATCCCAATCCAAAAGCAGGCAATTGCAAGCATTCAATACTGCAATTCGATAATTGTCCTGTCTCGTGAGTTGGTAATTGGGCAGAACTTTTGGCCTTAAAACGCCACCTGACTCAAACTCCATGCGAGAAGGCGAACATTCTCGTCTGTCAAACTGACTGTGGCACCTCGGATTTGGCAATATCAGGCAACATTTGGAATGAGAATTCCGATTTGTGAAAGTCGTGTAGACAAGGCGGTGAATGATTTAGCCTAGTCCGTAGCATCTGCGTGGCTAGAATCTCTTGTTACTATGACAATTATTAGATAGTTATCGGTGATACACTAATTGAGACTGGGTTTACCTCTAAATGGGATTACATTTATCGGCAGCATCTTGCGTGTATAGGCCGCCTGGAGCCCAATATTGCGATAATCGCAACGTCCACGTTAAGGTTTCCGTGGGTTTTGGTACGAGGACGGCAGGGCCGTAAAGTTTCCCGTGGCCCAGGGCATTGCGCGATGCTTTTTGTGGCCGACATCTGATGATCGGGTGAAGGGGAATTCAGAGATGAAACCGATTGGTGGTCCTCTGAGGAAGGCATCTTTCAGATGTAGGTTCGTCGACATCGAGTTCCGCTACCGCGCTTGGCGTGGTGACACCGTCTAACAGAGCCCATCGCGCTAAGCCTTGGGAAGATCCACGACGGGGGTCTCTTCCATGGCAGACAGCTGCCATTCTTGGGAGTAACATGAAGAGACTTGAGGAGACTTGGGTAAAGTCACTCGAAGTCGACTCAGGTATCGACATATCTTGTTCAACCCAGATTGCTGCGCCAACAACATTGGCATAGGCCTAGACCACCCCCAAGATCGCAAGAGCGGTGCAATTTCACAGACCCCCTCCAGGTACGAATACAAGGCTTAGGGCGGGGTTCAGAGGTTGGCATGACAGGGTGGTCATGGTGTGGTTTGACAGCGAAAAGCATAACGATGTCTGCTCTCAGCGTTATGGTGAATGACGAGATGCCAATACGGCGTGTGCAGGGCGCCAAGAGAGACACGGCCACCCGATTTGGGGGCAAATGGTCGGCCAAGACATTAAAATGGAGTTGACGAGGAGCTCTTGATTCGACAATAGCTAATCAAGGTTAAAACATGCTCGCCCAGCTAGTAAGCACTGCTTGGGGCTGGTTTTCTGGGGTTGCCAACCTGAGTAGAGCCACAATGTGATAGCCTGGAATCTACAAGCAGTTAACTCGTGCCTTGGCTGGCCGAAGTGCCCCTCGAACAAGTTTCGTACACTTCGCATCGTGCAATGGTTGGTGAGAACGGCTGCTCGGCATGTCTTTGCTGATAGCTTGAGATTGACAGCGATGGCATCGGTCGCAGATTCGCAGAAAGACCACGGTCAGTCGCACCACGAGAGCGAAAACGAGGACAGGCGAGGTCTATGCGAGGAATGCGAGATAGGTGAGGCGTTCCCAAGTTTCCTAGAGCAGAACAGGCATAGGCAGATACGCGCAATACGCGTGTTGAGTTGCGGGGAAGCGGATAGGGCCACAGCTCAGCCACTTTTCAGCCAACTGAACCTAATTGCCCAGGGTACGTAGTAGGGCCGTGGCGCCTAGAGAGAGGAGAAAAAAGTACGAAGTACGACGTATGCAGGAATCTTGGTCGAAGAAGCCGTAGGAAAAGAGCTGTGAACGTGGTTGGCAGGAGTCAGTTATTGGAGGTGAGTGCAGTACCCAGTAGGTACTCTGGATGGAAAGCTCCTTACAGCGAATGGTGGGAAGGAGGGACGTACCTTGAAAGTCGCTCCCAGTTGCACCTTTCCGGGCCAATCATGTACCTTTGCTGCATTCTGCGTATTCCAAGCTCTCATAGTCCAAACCCGTCTCTCTAGATGCAACTCCAAAGTTCCCATGCGTCAATACTGCCTACCTATGGTCTATCGTCTACGGTGTACCTACCAACATCAGGTATATGCGCTGGACGGTTTCGGAAAGTACGAGGCGTGCAGGGTGGCCCTCTGCTCCTCTAACCTCCGGATACTAATGCGGGAATACGCGCACACTCGCCCACCTTCTCACCACCTCACCTCCTTACGATGTACACTACCACCATGGGTCAAGAGCGAGCCAGCTGTTCCAGGGTCCTGTGTCCCTTTGCGGGCGAAGCCAGCAGCTGAACCCTGGGAGGATCGACGGAGGAATATGAGCTTACGACCATGAGTAGGAGCGATAGTAGGGAGCGGACTACCTAGGAGTCAGGACCAAAGCACCTCCTCCATGATCCCACCTGCAGGCAGGCTGCAGACTCGCAGAGTACCTTGCCGTACTCAGTACGGAATACCTAGTACATACTACGTACAGACTGCACGCAGCGCAACCTCGCGCAGTCCTTCCTTCCTAAGCTCCTCGGACCCGAGGAACATCCGCCCCTGCGAAGTCAACCTACCATCAACCCTCCATCACAACTTCAGAACTTCATCAGCCCATCGGATCGCCTACCTATCAACATCAACACGCGAGACCCCGCCAGGCAGCGACTACACTACTGCGTACACTGCGGCAACGCATGCACACGACACCGGAATTGACGTGGAGACAAGATGCGAAATGCCAAATGCGAAATGCGGCCCTGACAGATCCTTGATTCCTTGGTCAATGTACGCGTGAAGAAAACCATCCGGGAGAATACAGTCCACGTGCACTCCCGCAACCACCCGCCACAGCCCCTTTACTATTTGGACCTTACGAGTTTATTCCTACGGGGACACGAAGTACACCATACTGACCATACGGTATTACGGATACCTTGACGGATGTTCCACCGTCGTCAATGGCTGCCGTTGAGTCTCGATCGATTGACGATTGGTACTCCCTACTCACTGGGCGCTCGCAGATGCCAACCTAGGTATTCAAAGACGTGTTCTGAGTCTTGGCTCCTTGCCGGACGGAATTTGATGCCAAGCTGCTATTAGACAAGGACCCTGGAGGACACCGACTCTCTGGCACTCGGCCGTCGTCACGCACCGGCGCCCCGAGCCCGCGGACTGCGTTTCCAAGAATACCAAGCAAGCCAAGACAAGCGCCAATCAAACGCATATCCATTTTGCATTCTGCAAACAAGCGCGCCTTTTTCCAAAATACCAATGGGCTGGGCGCAGAGATTTTCACCTTGTTTCTGCCCCCAAATCTGCCCAATATCATATTCTTAACCTCGAATCCTAAAAGCCCCCCTACCTGGACGGGTCCAAATTGATGGGTATTGCGCAAATTGAAAGCCCTCGGCAGCCCTCCACACCCCGGCCGCTCCACGGCGGCGATGACGGCGATGGAGATACGGCGTATATGTGCACTAGGGCCCGATAGACCCCCAGCTCGGCACCGCGAGCTGCCGAGGCTTGCACAAAAGCCGCGTTCATTTCATAATTTCAACTACAAGCGGTCGATCCTTTACGATCACCTGCCTAAAATACGGGACCCCTTGTCAGAGTACCACCAACCACGTTGACGGTTGGTCATCAACAGCCCGTACGAAGTACCCATTTCTCTCCGATCCCGACAATGTGGACAGAGTGGGACGGGGCGAGACAGTGTTGCAGTCCGACTGGCTGCTTGCGTATGGAGCAAAGAGAAGAACAAGTTGAGAAGGACAGAAAAGGAGGGAACAATTTCACTGGAACAGCCAACATCCCGCATCGCTGCGTTTCGGCCGCCTTCTGACAGCGGAGCTTACCCACTGCCTGGAGTCCTGGGCTCTACCAGGCAATGGATACCCCCATCCCGTATGGACTACGAACACGGTTTTATTCTGGACGACAATAGAATTGTCAGAGACTGAGGGGAGAAAAGTCTGGAGGCGGAAACCCGAATGCGAGAAATCCGAAATCTGCGGCCGAGAGGCTTCTGGTCCTCATTTTGGACTGATCCTTACGGAAACACCTACTACTTTCTGCTACCCTCAGCACAGATGAGAGGAAATTTACAACGTGTCCCACCCAAGGCCTGGCCCAGGGCCTTAACCATTGTACAAGCTTCCCATGTTGGGCAGCCTACTTTGACGGCAGTCGATCATGTCCACCACTGAAAGTCAACGGAAACTTTCATACAGGCTTACTTCTTGTCTGTCCTGGACAGAGAGAGGTCTGGTCCATTCAAGAGCCAAAGCGGCCCGCTGACAAAGCGCCTTCATCTCCAAGGGCCAAAGCAACACTCAAACCAGCAACCAGGGTTTCCCCAGCATCGTCAACCCAACTCAGACAATCCGCCCAGCCCAACACGTGAACTCACAAGGTGTCATTGCCAACACCTGCCCGAGCCCCTTCAGACATTGTCATCGGCCATGTTTGATGTCCGTGGACGGCAAAATGCCCCCCGGGCTTATCTGGGGCAGAAGAGAGAAGCAAAACAAAAGTCCACCTCACTCCATCTTCGGACCCGAACAAAGACGATGGAACTAGTTCTTCATAAAAAAAAATCGACTCATCATGAGTTATCCACTGTCGGACCGCGGGGTTTACAACTTCCCGTCCCGCCCTCCGCCACAAACGCCGAGATCATAATTCGATTTCCAACCACTTAGGGCCCCCCTTCTCTGTCGCGCAAAGTGCCAACTGTGCCATACTCCGTAATCAATCACCAAGTACGGAGTATACTATCCGTATTCGATGCACAATAAACAGCAACGCTGTTTAACGGTCAACCTGAATCACCCCTCGACCCGCGCCATAGCCCGCCTGATATTCCCAAACGCAGCATCATCGCATGAACAGCGCCCTGAGCTTCCCGCGTTTAGTGGAACATGCACTGTGGGTCGCCGCGGCGTGGACTCTTGGGATCGAAGCAGATCGTAGGGCGGACACATTCAGATGGTTTTCCGTCGTGTGTTTTGGAAAGTTTTTTTTATTTTATTTTATTCTTTTCGCTCGTCTCTGCTTGTTTCTCGTGGGAGCAACCCTGCTTCATCCTCCTTCTTAACCCACCTGCACCAGTAAGCCTTTACCCGCCAGAGTTGGTTCCGCGTCTATACTACAATCTGGGGGTGTGCGGTTTGTGCGTTGGGTGCGTCTTTGCGCAGACCGTTGGCTTTTGCGCCCTGCCACTTACCAGCCCGCCGCCGCAGATGCAGAACCATCGACCACTGCTGGCGCAACCACACACCCTCCCCCTGTCACCCCTTGATCGACCAACAAGGATCACGGATGCTCCAGGGGGACCTTTGTCCAGAACCAGAATTGACCAAGACTCTACCAAGTGGCTTAGAGATGAGGGGCGTGACGACGCCTGACCGACTGCTCGCCCGCCTTCTCGGCGGACTTGGAAGATTCGTTTGGTCCGCACCGATTCGAACCTGTTGATCGTTGCGTGTGGTGATGCGATATACGACCAGCAAGCGGCTCATTTCACATGGCAGGGAACCAAAAGGAGGCCGGTAGTCTACGTTTGGCAACATGGGAGCTTTGTCTAGTCATGCCATGTTGCACCATCGCTGTCATTTCGGCCCCCAAATCTCATGAGAGATGCTGGCACGGCTGCTGAGCTGTACGGTCGATCAAGTCACCAAGTGGGGGCCACCAGAAGCTTGAAGAAAGTATCACGTCGCGTTGGGAATTTTGCAGGCCGCAATCGTGTTAGGAGCTTGCTGCGAAGGTCGCCGATGGGTACGGTGAGGCCATCTTCATCTCCCAATGACTACTACCTGATGTGACACTGACTAGAACAGCGCGACAGGCTTCTGACAGTTGTCTCCCTGCGGAATTTTAGGCCCTTGCAACTGTCTTATTGATGTTCGTCCGTCCCCTTCGGCGGCGGCGAGAAACGACCTTTTCCCTTCCTCCGCCGCCGACCTTCCCCCCTGGAGAGAATTATAAGTCGTGACGTGGAGACCCCGTGGCTCATCCCCTTGGCAACTCTGAGCGTCGCATTCGCTCCAAACCCTCCGGGGCGTCGGTCGCAGCGTTTGGTAACCCTGAAAGCAACAAAATTGGCATGCTCGCAGGGCAAATTGGGGGGGGGACGCTGGCTTGACCGACGGAGCTGGCTCCTGGTAAGCAACAAAAACCCAAGATTCTCTTTTAAGACTTTTCTCTGGGCTGCGCTGTGGGCATACCTACAGACTAGAGAGTGTGTGTAAGCCGGGCGGGCACAGGGCAGGCAAGGCCGCAGGGTGCCCGCTGAGACGGTAGCGTAGCATGCCGTCGCCGATTCCAATCGTCCAAGAGAGGAAATTTTGGTAGCAGTTCGTTCCATTTCCGGGGATCAGGTCAGGTAGTGTAGTGTAGAGTGCCAGCATAGGTAGGTAGAGTGTGAGACAAGAGAAAAGTAGACTTTTTCAAGAGTTTCTGGTCACCGTCTTTTTTTTTTGTAGTGTCATGCCCTGCCTAGGTACCATAGTTCTACACGTGTGGAAGTCAAAACCTGGGAGGTTACAGCAGTCCAGTCGGCAAACTAGCTAGCTGCAAATAATTACAATGATTTATGACGAGGTTACAGAGTTACTTGGTTTGAGCATTCGCCGACCTGAGCTTGCAGAAGCTCACGGACTCTGTTTGTCTTACAATCCAAATTAGGTGAAAATTGCACGATCGAAGAAGGGCCAAAAAAACTTCATTGGCTGGAGAGAGATGGAAAAGGTTCTGTTGACTCGAAGAGTGGTGGTATTCTGTATCTGTTTTTTTTTACATTGAGGTACTTTGACCTCTACCCCCGGCTCAGCTTTATGCAAGCTTGTCCTCGTCCCAACTCTGTGAAAGGAGGGGGGTGGGCGGTAAGATAAACTCTTTCTCTAAAGCTCATCCCAAAGCAAAATCACACAAGCCAAATAAACATGATCAGAAAAAGTTGATACAATGGTTTCGATTTTTGGTGTCGTCGTAACATGAAAAATCGTTCGCCTCAATGCTAATAAATCCTTCTTCCCTAAAGGCCGTTTCCCGCTCACTATTGCCCCCGAATACATTGAACGGTGGCGATTAACCTCATCCGAGCTTGACCAAATAAAACATAAAAATCAAACCACCCAAAAAATAACCGTCATACGCCTTTTTCTCTCTCTCGCGAGATGTGGGGAGGGTCCTTTCCCAGAAAAAGCAACGCCTTCGCGGTGTATCGTTGAAAATCCCATAAAATCGCAAAACCCAATGACCCCAATGTCTTCTGTGCGCCTGATGGCCGTAGCCCGACCGAAAGCCCCCAACTCTATAACTCATGATCCGTACTCGAAATGCTCAGTGGCTGGAATGATGGGGGTTACAGTCGCATTGGCTCGCCGTCATAGCCTCCGTAGATCATCGGGTCGCCCATTCCCATCATGACTTCCGGATTCGGACAGTTGAGAACGTGGGGCTTGATAGTGCCGAATTCTGACTCGATCAGGCCTTGGTTAAGCATATCCATGTTGGTGAGAGCGGCGGGATGTTGGAAGAATTGCTGAGCGAGATCCATTGAAGAGGGTGCTGATTGCCTGGGCATATTCCATTGTTGGTAAGCGTTCATGGGCGGTGACTGATTTTGCTGGAACATGGCGGCGGTGGGATCGATGGGCGAGGCAACTGAGTCTACGTCAAACTCAGTGTATCCGGTAGAGAAGCTTTGCGGAGACATGGTCATGGGGTTGTTGTGGCCGCCAAAGACAGCTTTGCGGTAGTCGGCCTCGAATTCCGAGTGATCAATGTCGGAGGAGCTTGCGCGGTCTGAACGCTCGCAACTTGAGTTAGAATCGACCTCGACCTTCATGGCCTTCTCAACATCGCGTTCCTTTTGCTGTTCCTCCAGTTGGCGCGCCAACTCGGCCAAGCCCGCCTCATCCTCAGGGAACACCGAGTGAACTGGCAAGTCGATATCGCTGTTGGGGCGGATACATCCAAGCTTCTGGGCAATGTTGTGGATGACGGGTTGTCCTCTATCGTTGAGCTCGGGCTCGCCAAGGTCCCATTGTTGTTGGTTCCTAACCATGGAGTACAACTTGTGGACGGTGGCAATGAGGGCGAATTGGGTGTGCTCGAGAACTTCGGCGTAGCCTCTGGGTAGCTGCTTGTATTCCGTCTTCTTGCGAACGCCGGCGGTGCAGACAAGACCATCGTCCTTACACCTTTTGCAGGGGAATTCTCCGTCGCACTGAGTGGAGTCCAAGTCAGGATGGGGGTAACCATGAGGGTGGGTGTGGTGGTGCTGCTTACCTTGGTCTTCTTCATACGGCACCTTTCGCAAGCCTTCCATACTCTCTTGTGACGTCCATCGGCAGACATGGCTTGAGAGTTATGATCGTGATGTTGTGTCGCGTTGTGAGGGCTGGCGCGCTTGGCAGTATGGCGGTTGGGCTTGATAGACTTGGAGCTGGAGGAGGAGCTCTTTCTGGATTTTTGGTCCTCCAAGGGAGGTGTGGGTAGGCCGCTTCCCATTGTGGTGGTGGTGAATGATTACTAGTTATTGGGATAGTATGGAATAGTAGTAGTTGTTGTTGTTATAGTAGTAAGGAAGGATAAGGTGTGGCGATGTGTGGAAGGGGAAGATGTTGTTGATGTAGACCGAGGGGCAAAGTGCGTATAAGTCTGTGGGTGAGGGAGGTGAGAGGCGTGTAAGTGAACTATATAGGATAGCGAGAACGAAGTCGACCCAGTTAAAGAGAAGAATAAACCAAAAAGGTAAAAGAGTCGGGATGACACAGCCAAGAGTCCGCGGCGCTAGGGTCAAGAGGGCGGGACAGTAAGCACGGCAAGGTACTGGGATGGAGGGCGTAGACAAATTATTAATGTCGAGCAGCAACGGGGAGACGACGGGGAGTAGACGGGGTGCGTCTAATGTGCGCGCGCGAGATTATGTGATGCGCAGGGAAAAGGCCTCGGAAGCTTTTGGGGTTGATAGAGTTCGGTCGCTCGCAATGCTAAGGAGGGCAGAGCAAGCAAGCAGTGGAGGTTGAGGAGAGAGGAGAAGAGAGAGGATAGGCAGGGGGGGGTGGGTGTGTGCGTTGCGGGTGCTTGGTGCTGATGCTGGTCGTTTTGGTGCGGTACTTTGCCCCGTACCTTTACGATGCAAGTACGGCGGTACGACGGGTACAGTGGAGGGCAGACAGGGCAGACTAGGGGAGTTCTGTCGGGGAGAGTCTGCTGCTGGAGGAGCTGGAGCTAGAGCTGGAGCTGGAGCGAGTGCGGATGCGGTGCGTTGGGTAGGTATTCGTAGGACCAGGTAGGTACCTTACGAATAGGTAGGTGGTGGTGTAGGCGTGGGCGTGGGCGTGAGCGTGGGTGTGGGTTTGCTGGCCTGGCCTGCTGCGGGTGGCATTAACGGTCGGCGACGTCTTTATGTCCGAGTGCGCGGGCGGGCCCAGTAGTTATGAAAATGAGACGGCCTCAAGAAGGAATCCTGGTTCCGTTTTGTGCTCAATTTGGAGAGTGTGTGTGGTCAACTGGCCACCGTCGTGTATCAAAAGTACGTCTGGTACGTAGCCAAGTTGTGGGATGTAGCTGGTAGTAGCAGCGCGCTAGCAGCCTTTTTTCTTTCTGGTCCCAAGAGCTAGCCGCGAGGAGGTAAAGTCCGCTGCGGAGTTCAGAGAACTGGACGGCGAGGATAGGGATAGGGATAGGGATTGGGATTTGATTTGCAAGCCGGTCGCTGCTTGTGTAAAGTACGGCTTATTTTGTTGCTGCTTCCCGCTGTTGATACGGCGGATTGCTGACTGCAGAATGGCGGACGTGTCTCGAGCGGATCTTATTGCCGACCCTGTTGTGTGCTATGTGCTGTTCCAGGGTCTTGGGGCCTTTCGTTCTTCTTGGTCTCCTTTTTCTCTTATTCGTCACCAAAGTCCTTAAATGCTTTTGCGGGCGGGTGGATGCGGGAGAGGATATGTGGATGTGGTGGTAGACTGGTGGTGGATGGCTTGTCTTTCTAGGCTGCTTGTTGGTGTAACAAGATATGATTCTCTTCAATCTTGGTGTGTAAGATGAGACCTAGGGGTTCTTATTTCGACTAGAAGTAATGCTGTTGCCTTGGAGGTAATAAACAGTCTGGATCGATGGAATGTTTCCGGGTCGAGATGGTCTTTTTAAAAAAGAATCCTCTACATCAGATCACTGACGCTGAAGGTATGTAGAGTAGGTATCGACGTCAGGTCGGCGGAGTTAGACCTGTGATGTTGATCAAGGTCCCCGATTCGAAACATGAATAGCTTCTGACTCCGGTGTAGGGGGATCCCAATCAGACGGAACAGCCGACCACATCTTATATCCAGCAAGCAGGGTCACCCACAACTCTGCCGGGATCAAGAGATGGGATCTTTCCAAGCAATGAGGCTTGATCATGAACAAAAGATGACATGATGCTGCGACTATGTTGGCATGGGCCGAGTCTGGACCATTTGCCTCGGGGAACACTCGACAAATCGTGAACGGAACGCTACTTGGTAGGAACCAAGCCGAGTGTGCGCCTCATGAAAGTGGGCTGCGCGAGGACAGGGCCCGCAATGTTGCTGTCAACCTTCAAGGGGTAGGTAAGGCAGGTTGAGCGGGTCCGCTCCTGTGACTGTGACTGATCGGTACCTCCAGAGACTTCGGGAGTGGAGGTTCACAAGTCCCCGAACCTGAGTAAGCTCTGCATGGGTGATGGGCCCAAGGAATGGAACGAGATGGTCGACGAAGACACGCGAGAGACACACACCCAGGCAGACAAATCGCTCCGAGGAGATTGACACAGAAAAAACCACCCGGTCTGGTCTGTCTCTCTCTTTCGAGTGTGCTCATGTCTTACTTGCTCTCTGTTTGCAAACCCCACCCGTCCGTTCGGGACGGTGAAGCCATGTTGACCCCAACGTCTCTTGTCTCTCTCTCCTACTTCGTAACCGTAGATTTGATCTGGCCGTTTTTGGTGTGAACATGTAGCTGTGTATCTTCCGTTGCGCCGCACCATGCCAACATCGCTGAGCCGCGGACGCCTTCGAGCACGACACCTGGTCAAGGTTCAATGCAGTGAGTCCGATGACCAATACCGGGTTGTTCATAATCCTAAATTTTCTCGATTTGTGCATGCGGCGGAATCTGACGGGGCCGCTGACGGGGCGATCAGGGTAAACTGCAACCCCGTATGCCAAGACTCCGGCCTGTTGACGAGGCCGGCGCCGAAGGCGGGGTCTTGACTTTTGCTGCGCGATCATCATCGACGATACCGCGACTCTACTGCTCTAGATCAGTAGCTCGGAGCCGCCATGCTGTATGTACGACCCTCGAGAGGTTCTGGACTCGAATGGAGACAGGACGACGAGGCATGACTGAATTGATGACGCCAGAGACCGAGTCTGCCAACTGGCATTGCTTTGCCTGGTTGGTCCCTGACTGGGAATGCCAATTTGGGCAAATCGACAGGGTGCCAGGGTCGATGAATCATGATGGGCCATAACCATTGGGTTGGGCCAAAACCTGTCCAAATTTGTCGCATTGCCCAGATACCTACGCCTTACAGGCACTAATACGGTCTCAATGCTCTCCTGTTCTCCTATCCGGGGCCTAAATTGATCCAACGGCTCTCGTATGCCCGACGGGTAGTTGACGAGGTGCCGCCGGGAGAACTAACTTATCTTTGTAAGGTGCAAAAACGTCCCTTGCTGATAGGGCTCGAGCGTATCAGTTGAAGAGTCGATTGCCTGCGGGACAGGTTCGGAGAACAGACAGTGGCAGACGTTCGAGCTCCCATCCATGCAGGGACTTCCTCTTTGAGGCCAACGGTGCCGACAGCCTCGCGTGGGATGGTCGCCGCGGGCGGACTTTTGTGTCGTCCTAATTCATTCCATGGTGAAAGATCCCATGCTGTCGGTGCGTGCCAAAGTCTGATATGCGCCACGAACGGTAGCTACCAGTCGGCCGAGGTTGACAATGCTTCGGCGAGCTGCATAGAAGGCAGGTAGTACCTGACCGCGAACTCTGTGGGAGCTCACGGGCGGTGCAGCTTAAGGCAGGTTGATCAAGGTCGACTGACGGCAGCAAGAAGAGATACTTCAGGCCAAACTTCTGGCCAGCGCAACACTCTGTGCGGCGGGAGCGTGCAGTGGGATCGAGTCCACCATCAAACCCGTCTGATACCATGACACCGTCCGAGGGTGTAAAGAGTGCAAAGACGTCATGGCGTGTAGTTTCGAGCAGCAAACTCTAATTCAAAGTCAACGATTAAGAGCCGCGATGATATTTCTCTGCCGAGCATGCCTCGGCCGCTGGCCACTCCCACGGCGGCAGGCGGAGCCAATGGTTCGTTGTTGATCGATCGTAAAGGAAAGGGTCGGGTAGGTGGACTGCTACGAAAGTCCGGCGGCGATGAGGAGAAAGTTGGGAGTTGGAACGGAGGGTGACAGCCTATTCGCCGATGGTGCGCGGAGAGATTGCGGAGCACGGACAAGATTCAAGGTAGCGAGGCCGCTCTGTGGCCCGCTCCTCCGCCGGTGGTATGTAGGTTCACGGTCAACCGTTGACAAGCCGCCAAGACAGGTCTCGTGAGGCACAGTGCCGTGAGGAGGGACTCTAAAGTCGAGAGAGGTGTTGAGGTGTACTCTGTACCGCATATAGCAGAGGCTCGCAAGGCCAGCTCGAGGTGACCAAGGGTCGGTTTGAGCTTGACCTGTAAGGCGTCGGCATGGGGTCGAGATTCATGCGAAGATGGTCGGCGATGGTAACATGGAATGGTGATGATGGATTTGTGGCGGATCAAGTTGCAATGCATCAGACTGAGCCAAAGTAGAGGCACGGGAGTGGTGGTGGTAGGTAGGTAGATAGACTGGTATCCGTAGTGGTTGCTGTGATCCATCCCTTCCATGTGGAATGTGAGAACCAACAACTGTTGAAGGCAGCTGCCCCAAGTCCCAATAACCCTCAACCCGCCACCGCCCATTCGAGTGAGCTACGCCGTGGCTGCTTCCTTCTTGGGATCCTTGCGTTTTGGGATCTTTGGGTTCTTTCTGATGTCTGAGAACGTGGGCGGTGGAGGGCTGACACCCACTTGCTTACTTCCCTGCGTCTTTGCCCCAGCTGCCATGTTGTTCCAGCCCTGGCCCGTGTGCCAAGGATCGAAGCTTCCATGTGTGAATACCTAGTGTATCCTCCTCAGTTGGTTTGGTAGTGTGGATGGAGTACAGAAACGCAGGATGTCGTTCTCATCTGGGGTAGCTGTATCAGTATCCGTACGAGTACGAGATGCTGTCTCGTCACCACCTCATGTGCGGTGTGGCTGCGTCCAAGCTGTCGGTCCCTTACTCTTGTGAGGTTGGCCGTATCGGTTCCCGAAACGGTGCCCGGGCGGAGGAAGGGCGAGAATAAGCAATGGAGATCATTTTTGCCCGGACCAAAAGCCCCCAGATGCCTAGGGTAAACCGTCAGCTAGGGCAAAATTAGGCTACTTTGTCGTGGAGATGCAAAGCGGGAAACAACCGCGGGCGTGGATGAGGTGCTCTGCGTGGATGCGTGGTGTGTGATGCGTGGGTGCCAACAGGCCGGGGGGGAGGATCAGGCACGCATCGGTGTGTCCCACTTGAGGTAAAGGTGTGCAGAGGTGGGTCTTTGGTGGGCCAGGTCCGGACTAAGGTAACTAAGGTAAGGTAGATAACGCTCATGTAATCGGCGAGGTATTCCCGCCGGATTTAACTGGCAGATTCTTCCTTCCTGTGACCACAAGCGCGATGGATGCTTTCAACGAAATAGTGGACATGCCCCTCACAACTATCAAATCTGCTAAGCACCCAAGGTAGTTTTGCTGCAACTCTCTCTTCTCGCTCACGTCCATTGCTCAGTCACTATAACCGCATGGCATGCCCGTTGTGACTCATCTACCTTAGACAACCCCCCAATCATGAGGCTGGATACCTCACCTACTTATTGGAACACTGCATGGCTATGGACTGTCTCCGGGGGGTGAGACAATTGTTCCCGTCAGGCACGTTATGATAATCACACGTAACGTTAGCATCATTGTGTTGTCTTCCGTTCCCCCATGCCGATCGGGCCTGGGGCGTAGATCCACGGAGCGGAGATAACATCTCCGTGTAAGTGGTTGCTTACCGACAATCACGTTCGGGTCTACCACATACACAGTAATACCACCGTCGTGGACTCTCGTTCACCAACTAGACCACAACATGCCATCCAGCCGGTTTTCAAGCTCATCGCGATCGGACTTGACACACCCGTCGCCATGGGTCGTGCCCTTGGTAAACCGAGCCATCAGGGCTCGACCAGAATAGTGTCCTCAGAGAGAAGCATGGCTTCAGCCCAATAAAGCTGCCATAAACCCACTGAAGTTGATATCGTGGTAGCACTATCAGGGAGTATCCTAGGTATCTACAAAGAAACCACGGCGAACTGTCAACACCACCTCGTGGGCGGCGGTAATGAACAGCCAACAGCGGGCTCTGTCTCATCGGTCTGTGGCTGGCGCCGTCGCCGACTCCAATCGGCTTTGACATGGGACGAATTAGAAATCTCACGGCGGAGGAGCAGAAAAAGCTTAGTTAATCGCCGGACTGGGTGGGATGGATGGTTTGAGGGAGAGACAACCAATCATTCCCGACAATGATTACACAGCATCGAGAAACTACCTTAGGTGCTTTGGTATTACCTAGTAGTACGGAGTACGGAGAAATACAGTAGCAGCCGCATCCCACCCACCATTGTGCTAGGGGGTACCTACCTTTTTGTTTTCCAACAAACCCCATTTCGTGGATGCTACAAAACAGAAAGCGTGCAGTGCAGCGGAAGCACCACCCAAAGAGCGGAACGTTGCCCGTCGGTCGTGACCTCATCCTCGCTCGCGTCGCCCGCTCCCCCCCCTTTCATAATGACGAGGTGGAATCATCGTGGGACTGTCGAACTTTTCTAGAAGACGGTTCTTTCCCTCCACCGCACAAATGCCGATGGGTCATCTCCACGTCTCTGTACGGCTTAGTGGGAATCCTGGCTCAACTGACTAATCGGCTACACTGCTGTCAAGTGCCGCATCCACTTGACCCTATTGAGGAAAGTGCCGCTCACACACGCAGCTGCATCTCACTCCAAAACTGATTGATCCTGTACGTACCGTTTTCGAGTAGTGTACGTCCAATCCTGGGCTGTATTCTCCGAGTACCTCTGCAGTCCCATCTTGTCTCCATCGAAACTACCATCCATCTCCATGCATCATCTTCCAAAATCTCAATCTTTGTTTACACTATCTTCGTGCAGCTTCTTCACGTCGCATGACCGTCGGAAATTTCCTCCGCCGTTGAATCCCGCCCGGGAATCACATC